AGAGAGAGAGAGAAAGAGAGAGAGAGTAGAAGAGAGTAGAAGAGATTAGGCGGGAAAGCAACACCTACATGGAGTACATGAGCACGTTGAGCAGCATAAACGTCGTCAGACTGGCAACGGTAAACTTGATCCGCGCCGGCGTCACGAAGCGCATTGCCGCCTCTAACAGCGTCTTTGTCGTACTCTTTCTGGCCTTGCCTCGGCCGCCCGTCGCTATCCTCTCCTCGTCCATCCACAAGACCACCGCCGGCGCATAGATGAACGGGTAAATCTTCAGATGCACCGCCAGCCCGAGCACCACCCCGGCCAGCACCACCCTCTTGCGGGCGACTGCCCACAGCAGCGCCATTGTCAACACGCCGAGCAAGGCCTCTGCGCTGCCGCGCGTGCTCATGGTCGCGACCATGGGGTTCCAGAGCCACAGCGCCGCAAACGCCCCTGCTCTCTGCGATGCCGTCATGCGGCTATCTTGGGAGGACGACTGTGGTGATGGTCGGAGGCCACCACCGCCGCCGCCATCGCCGCGTAGAAGCCGGAGCGTGAGCCAGCCGGCGGCAAGATCGGCGAGCGCAAAGAGAAGCTTGCCGGAGTGGAAGAGCAAGGGGTGGATGGTGGTGGTGGCGGCGGTGGGGAGGAGCAGCCAGGCGAGCAGCGGCGTGTAGCGGTAGGTGGCGCGCGCGTAGGGCGAGGAGCCGAGGGAGACGGAGCGCGCGGCGTCGGTGAAGACGAGGTAGTCAATGTCGGTGTACTTGAGGGCCGAGTGGGCGTCTTGCCAGGCGCCGTAGAGGAGGAGAAGTAGGCGGAGGAGGGCGGCGAGAGTGAAGAGCGGGATGGGGTCGAAGAGCGCGTGCAGAGGGCGTAGACGACTGCTGCTACTGCTGCTGCTCGCGGCGGGAATGGCTGCTGGTTTTGCCATTTTCTGATTGTAGGTGCCGGTGTGAATTATATGAGTTTGCGGTATGCTCGGTATTGTTGATGAGGTGTTCAGTGGTGCTACAGATGCGACATCATTTGCCAGCCATGATATAATCCGAATGTATTGCTTCTGCTATTGTTGATGAATTTGCAATGATTCAATTGAAAAATTTGCCAATAAACGCCGTGTCGCTCGGGAAAAGTAAGATGAGATTTGGTGAATTGTCGTCGCGTGTCCAAACGCCGACAAGCTCCCCTTTTCAGAGCGCTTCACTTTGAGATGCAGATCCACACCAGCTCAACTTGGGTGAGCCCACCATAACTTTTCCCAGCTTGTTGGCAGCTCCACTCCAAGCCCAAGGTAGCTTTCAAGATCCTTCATCAATTCATCAGCGACAACCCGGTCTGATTGGCAATTTATCCTAATCTTTCTCGTATAAAGAAACTTGATAAATAGTACACATTATCATACAGCAGCATTTTCTCTGACATGTCAGCCGTCAAGCGCGATTACAATGGCCAAGCCAAGGTCGCGGCAGAGGCCCCACGAGGCCGTTTTCACGACATGTTTGAGGGATTCCGCGATGAGCTTGACCAGCACCACGATAGACGCGAGCGCCTCGTAAAGGTCTCGAGAGATGTAACAGCACAAAGCAAAAAGATGTCCGTTTTTTCCTACAGCCATCTGCAAGTCATGTCATCTTCTTTACTAACACCTCGCCCAGCATCTTTGCTCTACAAAGGTACACAACCAGCAAAAAGGAAGGACTCAACTCGTCTACCGCAGAATATTAACCAAGCCACGCAACAGGGTCAAGGAGCTTAACAAGGAGCTCCCGCCCAACATCCAAAAGGACATGGACACGCGCCTCGCCGAAATCGCCACGCTGCTCAGCTCCGTCGCGCCGGACCTGCAGTCCATCAACCGCTACCGCTACCAGTCGACGATGCGGTGCCTCGAGGAGCTCGTCGAGGCGCTCTCCTTTGCGCACTACCTGCGCCGCCAGACGCTCATCACGCTGTCCGAGGCGCAGGCGGCCGTGCCCGCGGCCGAGCTCGTCGGCCTCACCGAGTACGACTACATGTACGGCGTGTTTGACCTGTTTGGCGAGCTGATGCGCTTCGCGACGGTGACGACGGCGCAGACGGGCCGGCTGCTCGGTGGCGGAGACGGCGACGACGGCCACAGCCGCACGCTGCTCAGCGACATGCAGGAGCTGGGCTGCGCGTTTGAGATGATGCGCGATGTGCCGACGCGCGATTATCGCCAAAAGGTCGAGGCTATGCGGCAGAGCGTCAGAAAGGTCGAGAAGCTCGGGTATGGCCTCGTCGTGAGGGGCAGTGAGCGACCAAAGGGATGGGTGCCGGACATGAAGGAGGATGCGATTGATCACGGATCGCCATAGGCATGTATGATTTTTTTGTTTAGCATTAAAGTAACATTATGTAGGATAGGTAGCTACTGTTTGCATGACTACGTGTTGGTCATGCGTGCGTGCCAGCTGGCGGCGCGTCGCTCACAAACGGATAAGTCACTCTTCTTCTTATCTCTTCCGTGTACTTCGGGCCATCTTGCCTCCTTCTTCCTCCCTTCTGGCTCTCCTCTTCCTCCTTCCTGATCTTTACTTACTCATTTCCACCCGCAGTCGCCTGCCTTCCTTGCGCGCTGAGTTGCCTAGCCGCCGAAGCACGAAGCTGTCCCTCGCTGCAGCGCGCTGACGGCCAAGTCTCTTTTCAGAATGCCGCCCAAGAGAGCTCAGGCGGCCACCAACAAGCAAAAAGGCGAGAGCCTTGCGAGAAGAACAACCTTCTACGTCAACAACGAGTGGGAGGCGGGCAGCGAACCCGACGACTGTACTCATATTCGCGGGCAGATGTACGTAGAGTGCCTTGAGCCGCAGAGAATGACCCAGGACTGGCCTATTATCCTGGTACATGGCGACTATCACTCTAGTCAAGTTAGTTCTTCAATGCATTTGGGTTGATGACAGCACGCTGACCAACAGGTTTGGCTGACAAAACCCGACGGAGACCCGGGCTGGGCCTCGTACTTTGTGGGCAAGGGCTTTCGGGTCTATCTTGTCGATTTGCCAGGTACCGGCAAGTCGAATAACCTGACCAAGGAAGAAATCAAAGATGTAGAGATTCGAAGCATCAAGGGCTCCCAGATTGAGAGGGAATTCACCACCCCGGAAGTTTTCAACCACATAGCTGATCCCCGCTGGTCCACGGTCCAGAATCACAACAAATGGCCAGGGGTAAGTACAGAAATGTGCCTGTTGCCTGCACCGCCTACTAACTCGCCAAATTGTCTTAGACCGGCAGGAAGAACGATGGCAATTTCGACAGGTATTGCGCCTCTTTGACTTCGCTCTTCTTTACCGTCGAGCAGCGACAAACGCTAGCCCAGAATGCGCTTAGATGCCTCCTCAAGACAATCAAGAAAGCAGTACTCATCGGCGAGGGCACGGGGGCGACGGCTTCTTGGCTTGCGGCGGATGTTGTGCCAGAGTTTGTGGTTGGTGTCGTGGCTATCGAGCCGCCCGGCCCGCCCTTTTGTGACGCGACCGTAAGCCGAAACGGCAAGCGAAGGTTTGATACCTTTACAAAATTTAATCCGGATCGTCTCAAGTACGGCTTGTCTACCATCCCGCTGACATACGACCCACCCGTTCGCGCAGAGTTGGATCTACGAAAAGGGCCGACGGAGCTGCTTCCATCGTCAGATCCGAAACATTCGACCGGGCAGCATCCGTTGGACCTGGCTCTCTTTGTCCGTCAAGATAATGGCAAGGCGATGGTGCTCCAGTACTGCCCAGACAACATCCCGGCTGGGTTCATCTTCATAGAGAAGTTGACACATGGGGAGGGTACAATGCACGTTCGAAAGCTCGACAACTTGGCAAAGATGCGCCATGTGATTATTACCGGCGAAGCAAGCTCCCATTCCGAGTATGACGGTTCTACAATGCACTTTATGCAACAAGCCGGCCTCACTGTCGACTGTGGATTTCTGGAGAGATACCGAACATATGGCAATGGCCACCTGATGTTCTTGGAAGAGAATAGCGACGAGGTTGCCGCCCACATCATGCGTTGGATACAGAACAGGGCAGGCAAAGTGGACAAGCCAGTGATCGCTGCTGAGACAGATGTGGCTATCGTACCCGGGCCTACCGCACTGTTGTCCCGTCGGGCTATTGAATGTGACCAGCGGCACGTCAGATCACCGAAGAGGCACAAAAGCAGCACTACTGATCGTTCAAAACTGTCTTTGGTCTCAGCAGGCCATTCTGATGTAATCGATTTGACCGACGAGTTTGACTGCGGCATCGAATACTGCTCTAATGAGGCTCTGCACGCTGCCTATGACGAAGACTACACGTTGTCTTCTGCATCTGGCACGGTTTTCCGACACAGTGCGATGCTACCGCCGCCGCCGCCGTCCCAAGCCAGTCTCCCAAAAGCCTCTACACGAGCGGAAAATCCGCCTGTGGCCAATGTCGTCGAGCCGAATGCACGCGGGAGCTACCCTCAGAGGTCTGAGCTCTTCATGCCCCCCGCATCTACTATCCGAGACCCGACTTCCTTTGCTTTCTCAAGCCCGATTCCCGCGCAATTACATTCTCAACAGGTTCCTCTGGAAGAGACTGAGGCTGGTGGCGCTGGTAGGCAGACCTCACAGGGCCTTGAACCCAACCAAGCTGACTTTCATACGCCCCCAGAGTATCCAACTCGCAGCCCCTATTCTGCTTCCCCGCGAAACCACTCAGCTTGTGAAGCGATGCACGAACAACGAGGAGGCTCGAAACGGGACGAAGGTACCTACGTAGGCGAGTCGGCGCCAACAGGGCCTTCCAATAGCTTTGAAAACTCATACACGGAATATGAATTTGGCTTTTTCCCACCACAAGCCATGAGCCGAAATGGACGCCGAACCACGGGGCTGTTGGACTCTACTCGCATGCCCTTGATCCCCTTTCATCATGGCATAACACCGGACACAGCCTCCTGGCTGCAGAATCCCTGCTTTTGGTCAACACAGGGCGGGTGCTCTCCGGGTTCCTTTGCTCAAGCTCCGCGCTCCATGCCCAATTTTCAGCCACGCAACAACGCCTGTGCGTATGCCGAGGCCACGGGGGCTACCAATGATTGGGTCCGCAACAGCCAGACTTACGATCCTCATATTGACCTGTCATGTCAAAATGAGGATCATCTAGACATGAACGAATATGAAGTATAAGTGGAGATGCGATAATGATTGCAATGATTTTATGTTTATGAACAAGGACGCTTACGATTGGATTACTGAACTTTAAAATTTCGACTGGCTTTTTTTCTGAATAAGGGTTTATTTGAGACTCGAAACACGGTGCGAATGGGTGCAAGCCTGTAGCTACTCGGGCCCATACTATGATGGGCTCTTTTCGGTGGGAGTGGGACAGTGAGGATGCGCGTGTGCGCCCCGATCCCTGGTGAGGCCCTGAGCTTTTGGTCCACAGCATGCATATCTAGACTCAATTCAATAACTTGAAAAATACCTTTTCCGTCAACATTCGACCAGAGGCAAATTTGTGGCGACTCGTCCAGCGCAATTGCTACGTTCCATGAATGGTGTAAGTCATGATACGAGACACAATTGGTCACTTTGAAAGCAAGACCCGCTTTATCAGCTTAGTTACCGTGAATATCCCATCAAGAGCTGTTCATCGCCGACCAACGCGCACTCGTCGCCATGATTGCCCTTTCTATTCACCAAACATGTGCGCTGAGCAGCAAAACACTACCGACTCGACACGGCTCTTCCGCGACGAGGCGCGGCGCTGGCAGGCCGTGCAGGACCGCGACGCCGCCGCCGACGGCCTCTTTGTCTACGCCGTCAAGACCACCAAGATATACTGCCGCCCCATCTGCAAGGCGCGCCTCGCGCGCCGCGCCAACGTCTCCTTTTACGACACAGGCCGCGCCGCGCACGAGGCTGGCTTCCGCGCGTGCAAGCGGTGTCGGCCGGAGCTGGCGGGCGGCATGCCCGAGGAGCTGGCGGTGCGCAAGATTCGCGCCTTTGTGGACGGGTGGCGAGACGGCGGTGACGGTAACGCTGACGGTGACGGTGATGCAACAAACGCGGACAGAAATCTGCGGCAACGACGACAACGACTGAGCTTGAGTCAGATGGCTAGGCAGACGGGTCTTTCCAAGTGGCACTTTCACCGCGTGTTTAAGCGGTGCGTGGGCGTGACGCCGAGCGAGTTTCTGCGCAGCGGCGAAAAGGAGGCCGAGTCTTGGTCGCCGCCTACCAGCGGGACCGTGTCGCCGTGGACTGACGCGGATCTGGATCTTGTGCTTGGGGTGTTGCCTATGGACCAAGAGGACAAGAAGCAAGGCTGTCACGACACCACTGGCTTTGCCTTGTGTGGTGTGGAGTCTGCGCTGATGCCGTTGAGCGAAAACGGTCTTGGCTGGGATGACGCCAACTTGTCGTTTGATGATTTTCTCGTCTGGCCAGACTGGCCAGAAGAGGCTGCCAAATCAGCATGACAACAATTGATGTGGGAAAAAATCCCAAGTCTGATTACTTTGCTCAGTTTTGGCTACATTGAGCCATGTCTCCATCTCACAAACTACAAGCATCGGCACAAACGGCAGTGGCTGACGGAATCAAAAAAAGCCACCGGTTCCAATATTGCATATTCAAACAAGGGATGGTTTTTATCTCTTATTACGTCCACACCGTTTCTTGTCAGCTCGGACCCTGAGCGGCCAATGTGGTGCCGTCTTGAACTTTTGACGTGACCATGAGCTGACTAAAGGACGCACTCTGATTGGTCAATTCCATATCTATCAGCACCACCAAGGCCAGGCTAGAGCGGCGACTTTACAAGGGGACCGCAAGTGCTCCAGCCAACCGAATTTCGTTGCTTTTAGATGACATTGCAGGGTCAGCAATGGCATTGCAGTGATTGGCTGCGTGGAAGTCCGGGGGAGCTATTGGGAAAAGAATATATGGTAGAGCTTGCTCCCTTGTAGTGAGGCAAGTCCTTTTTTTTGCAAGAGCTGAGCATTCCTCGTCTTCATCCTACTTTTCGCCTGATAACCTTGATACCCCAATAACAAGTCTTTTTTTCTCAGCAGTCGGTTTAATTGCCCATAATCGATTTCCCCATAGCCTCACCACAAGGCACAAATCACTTACACACATCACAAAAACTCCCCCAACTTACACAAACGCCCCCCTTGACACAGCCAAAACATGGCGTTTGACAATGAAAACTCTCCTCTTCTCCCCCGCGAGCCCGCCGTTGAGCGGTACTCGCCCCTCTACGACGAGACCAAGACGATGCCCGAGGACTCTGGCGGTCTCTTTGACACGACCGACATCCTCCGCGACGTCATCATTGGCTTCGCCGACGGCCTCACGGTGCCCTTTGCGCTGACGGCCGGCCTCTCCAGCCTCGGCAGCAGCAAAATCGTCATCATGGGCGGCCTCGCCGAGCTCTTCTCGGGCATGATCTCCATGGGCCTCGGCGCCTACCTGGCCGCCGTCACGGAGCGCGACCACTACGCCTCTTGCGAAGCCCGCGAGCGCGACCAGGTCGACGCCGCGCCCGACGCGCGCCGCGCCGAGGTCTACGCCATTCTCGAAAAGTACGCCGTGTCGCGCGACGCCGCCCGGCCGCTCGTCGACGAGCTGTGCCGCCGCCGCGATACCTGGGCGCGCTTCATGGTGGATTTTTCGCTGCGCCTCGAGCGGCCCAACATTCACCGCGCCTGGATCTCGGGCGTCACCATGGGCCTCAGCTACCTCGTCGGTGGCCTCATCCCCATGATTCCGTACTTTGTCATGCCCCGCGTCGGCGACGCCCTCGTCGTGTCCATTGCCGTGACGGCCGTCATACTCTTAATCTTTGGCTATGTGAAGAATTACGTCGCTATCCGCAACCATCGCGCGGGACTGTCGGGCGCCATCCAGACGCTCATCATTGGCGTCCTGGCCGCGAGCACGAGCTACGTCATCATCAAGGCTCTGGATACGGATAGCGCAGGGTCGCTGGTGAAGATTCTCAAATAAATGGGGGAAGGGCATGTGTTGTGCTTTGTATAGGCTTGACTGAAACGTTCCAAGTCGAGCCGAAAATAAAGATTGACAGCTGGGATGGTTGCGTACATAGGATAGCTGCGTGCATAGGATGGCTGCGTGCATAGGATGGCGTTTTTTTTGGTTTCTTTACGATTTTGAGCGTTGCTTGTAAAACTCCCCTCCACAGATTGGAGGAATGAATGCCATTTTCATTTCACTACGAGTCATTTTTAATCGCCTGTTGTTTCTGAATGTGACACGAGTTTGCTTGTATTGTACGTATGGAGTTGCACGTGCGGAGTGACAGCGCCATGTCCAGCGAATGGCACATTCAACAGTGGATGAGTGCAGCGTGCATGTACAGTATATTTTATATACAAGACATATTATGAAACGCATTTGAATTTGGCGTCCGGCATGTTCTAGGGCAACTATCCGTCATTATGCACATCACCTCACGCACAACCCTGGACAACGAAAAGGCCTGTTTCAGACACATACTCGCTGTCCGTCTACACACAGGCCATGAACTCTTGATTCTCACCGTCGTTGCGCCTCGAAAACTTCGCTCGCCACCAGAGTCGGCAGGCACGGCATAACCATTGTCAAGAAACCAGTCAGCCTCTCAAGATGTGCCTCGCGGCCCGAGTCCTAAAAGTTCGATACCCCAGCATTGATATGAGCCTATTCGGGTCATCACACCTATGTTCTCAATGCAGGCCCTTGCCAATTCCACTTTTACGCACCACTAGGGCTTATTTCTCAGCTTCTTTTCGTCTCTTCGGGCAGTGGTAGTTCGAGCTACATGGATGTGTACGTTACTCCTCAGACCGGCCTGCGAAGAAGACCGACAAAAAAGTCTCAGCCTTACGTGTGGGGCGTGGGGGGTTTCGGCCGAATAGCGGCCTACTTTACAGGCTGATCGTCGCATCCATCAACGCAGCCCAGCTTTTACCAACTGTTGAGGCATATTGATTGCATATTAATTGAATTCTTCTCCTCATAGTATCGCTTTGTAAACTGCACCACGAGTACGTCTCTGCGCTATAGTACAAACTGCCTGATCCATGTCTGGAACAGAATCAGATCCGTACCCGGGGCTGGCGCGGCCCAGCCGCCATCGGCTCCAGCATTGACCCCAACGTCGTCACCGGCCGAGTCTCCCACCACCGCTTCTGCCGTCGCTGAATCCTATGCAGTGTTCCTTGTCCAATCTCTCTCCTATGGGATGCAAAAGTCGATCCAGCTGCCCAAGTAGTCCAGTCTGTTCCCTTGCGTCTCTTGTGACTTGTAGATTTCTTCAAACTCTGCAAAGTTGAGCTTGCCCCAGCCTCCTCGGGCCTCAGCCTGGATCTCGGCCAGGTTGAGGCGCTTCCACTCCCTGAGTGTTGCATTGGATGGCTCCGGCGTTGAACTCCGTTTCGTTTCCGGAGCCTCAGATACCGTAACGGACGGAGCTGCAGTGGCCGCCTCTGCTACGCTGTTGGGCCGAAATTGGGGTAGCGTAGGGTCACGATACTCTGTTACCGGTACCTCCATCGCCGCGACAGAATTTGCGGCCTTGTCTGCCGCTTCCAGCACCTCTTCAACGCTGGTGGCCGTCTGCAACTCAACTGCGTTACGAGGCTCTGACGGTTCTACCGAGTATCCGCTGTCCTTTAGCAATTCATCCAGGCTCTTCTCGCTGGCGGGCTTATCACTAGACGGCTGATCGCCGCCCGTCTTTTCTTTACCATCCTCGCCTTCTTCCTCCGTGTCTGCTTGCGAGGGATCAAACTCGTCAATGAGGTCTGCGTAAGCTGCGCGCTCAAGCCTAGTTTCAGCAGCCTGTACCGCAAGATCCTCTGCTGGCTTGAAGATGACGTCCAACAATTCATTGAATGCCTGCTGCGTCACTTGGTAAAGGATTTCCTTTCCAGCGTCGTTTTCTGCAAACCCATGTCTATAAGCAGGATCATCACGTCTGATTTGGAATGGAATGTCGTCAGAGCTGGTATCGGACTCGACCGATGCTGGTGCACCGTTTTGTCGCCTCTCTCGGCGTCTCTTCTCTCGCCTCTCTGCTTGCTCTGCCTTGGCAAGAATGTCTTCTCCGTCACTCCAGTCATCCGGAGCGGCACCACCCTCTTCCTGATCGAGGTAAAACTGTCGACGTCTCCACCGGTCATGAATTTTGCGCCTGGCCATATCACGCCGCTTCTTGTCCAACTTAGGAGCTTGTCTTCGACTGCGTTCAATAGCTCTTGCGCGTGCTTCGCTTTCCGTCGGTGGCCTGGCTTCGGCGCTGTTCGAGTTGGGACCTTGTTCATCCCCAGCAGTGCCCTCGTCTTCATCAGCAGAGTCTCGCTGCGCACTGTCTTCGTCGGCGCCATTATTGTTGCCAAGTAAAACATCCGAGAACTGTTCTAGATTGTTCGGCGGATCAAGCATAGTAAGCCAGTAGGTGCCGTCAGCATCGGCACCACTGGCTCGACGGGCTGTTCTCCAGTTCCCGTCACCATCATGACCAATAACCAGCCCGCGTCGTCGGGCTCTTCTGTCCGTTTCGCATGCAAAAAGACTCGTCAGTATATCTCTCCGCGTGGCAGTGTCGTTTTCGTTTTCGACAAAGGCAGCTTCCTTGTCCTTGTCCACTGCTACATGGCCGTCCGGATGATATGTTTTGCCTTCAAAGCGCATATTCGAGTCAGCCTGTGGGACTCTTTCCTCGCGTCCAAAAAGACTGCTGAGGGGCTGTCGGCCATTGACAAGGTGCTTTGCTTCTGTACTCGCGAGTAGTTGATTTTCGAGGCCGTCTAATATGTCTCTATGCATTTGCTTGTATAAAACATAGTAAGCTTTGAACATGCGCAAAAAGTCTCGGCGATTAACGTAACCATCTCCATCAATATCGTAGCCGTCAAATACAGTCTGCAGCTTATCTTTCCGTCGCCGGTAGGAGAGACCATGTAAGAATTCAGAAAAGCCAATGAGGTCATCATTGTTTGAATCGTAGAATGCAAACATGCGATCGTGTATCAGATTAGGTTCTGCATATGCGGAAGCACCTGTCGGTACAAGACATCGTTCAAAGGTCTTGCGGTCCATGGCGATGCAGAACTGATCCGGGTCATCTCTCCATTCCGTGTTGGCCATGAAGGTCCATTGCTCCCAGAATGCTTCCAACTCGGGTCTCTCGAAGCCAGTCTCCTTGGACAACCTTGCCATGATTCCTCTAGGCACGGCACGGCGACAAGATTCTGGATCACCAGTGTACCAGACCGGCTGCATTTGTTTGTGGCCAAATGGCGGGACCGGAATTCGAATCTTGTAGAAGATGTGCGTCTTGATGTGGACACCCTGAGATTCGCAGGTTTCACAGAGGTCAAAGTCTGCACAGTTTGCACAGCGGTAGCGAATGCCTCGGATAGGGACCATGCCGCAGGCATTACATTGGCATCCTCTATGGACGCACCCATTGCGGCGCGCGTTATCCTCTGATACGCGAAACAACAAGCCCACAATATTGTGGCCTGCTCTCTGAGGAGGTAGTTGACTCGGGTCGTTCCACCACTCGTCCTCATTATTCTCGTCGACGCCAGTCTCGCCCTCAGTTGAGGGCTGTGGTGGTGGCTGTGGCAATGCGGTATTCTCTGCATTTTCATCACCAGCGACATCCGAGGACGAACTGGAGACAGTTCCTGACCGCCGGGAGCGGCGGTGGTTTCGGCGCACCGCGTTGCTTCGGTGTAGCGACCCATCGGGCAGCTCAAGCACGAAATGCGGTGAGTTGCTGTGGTATGCATAGTAGCCTGCCGAGATGGCTGCTAAAGCGGAGACAATGACGATAGCCACCCGCGGCCTCGTGAGGCTCTCGGCAGAGGGTGTCGAAAACCACATGGCTACCTTGGCGTCATGTTATTCGTTGTGCTGGTTGACGCTTGAGCAAGGCTGCCCCTGGCTTGCCGCGCGGGTGGATGCTAAGATGGGTCGTTTCGAAGTTTCGATGTTTCGAAGTTTCGATTTGGATGTGATGCGTGGTCGATAGCTCTCTTTGACAAGCAATGTACTGTGATAGTAATACTCGACTTGTTGTGTCTGGTAGATGTTGAGGACAAGTCATGCAGAAGGAAGGCTGGTAAGCTCTTTTCTGTTTTGCAGCCATGGAGAGCTTGCAGGTCGTGGGTGGGTCTTGCGACGCCACCAAAAGCAGCGCATGGTTACTGGTAGCTTCCGATTTGCAGTACCAATGATCCGACCAGTCGACAGCTTCGACTGATCTTTTCCTTCCCCTCACCAGTTGACGACACTTGATTAAAATCCCCTGTCATGGCGCAACTACCCTCACCGAACGCGGGTGGGATGCCCTCGTCCTTTGACGATGACCTGTACGTGTTTCAATCGATGCCGTTTCCTGCGCCACCACTGCTCACGCGACGATGATACAGCGAATTACGCAACGAAAAGACGCTGCACAAGTTCTTTCGCAAGATCAAAGAAGAGCCTCTTGTGCCGCTCGGTACCTCTCCCCCGCTCATGTCCACCGCCGACGACTGCCAAATACGCTAACAAATTTGCCCGCCCTAGGCATGGGCCTGACCGTCTTCGCCTTTATCAACGCATACCGCGCCCTCCGCCGGGGCGACTCGAAGCAGGCCAACAAGATGTTTCGCGCGCGCGTCGCCGCGCAGGGCTTCACCGTCATCGCCATGGTCGCCGGCAGCATGTACTATAACCAGGACCGCGAGAAGAGCAAGGAGCTGCGCAAGCTCAAGGAGGAGACGACGGCCGAGGAGAAGCGCCAGAAATGGATCCGCGAGCTCGAGGCCCGTGATGATGAGGACAAGGCCATGCGCGCCATGCTCGAGAAAAAGGCCCTTGCGCAGTCGAGCGCGGCGGCCGGTCAAGAGGCTGACAAGGACCCGCAGGCCGGCGGCACGGGCGGTATCCTCGGCCGCATGGGGCTCTGGGGCCCGGCCGAAACAAAAGCTGCCGAGGAGCAGGCCGCCGCCGCCGCTGCCGGTGTTGCCAGTGAACCGACTATCGAGAAGAGAAGGGAGAACCCCAGAAGCTCATTGGGTGCTCTGGGAGAGGTGTATGGCTCAAAGAAGAAGGATGATGGTGAGTCCAAGAAATAAACGCCCTGTTTCGAAAAGCTTGTGGCTTGTATATATCTGGCGTTGTTGGAAAGCAGACGCTTTCCTTGTACGATACGAAGTAGCTTTGATGCTCACTACTACTCTCTCCACAAGCGATAGACCATGTTTCAAATATAAGCAGTTAAACAAGAGTTATCAGAGACTGTTCCGATCATGTCCTCGTGAAGGAGCCGAGTATATATTTCTCCTGCGTCTTGCTAGGACATGGAACCACCGCTCCGGTTATTTCCAATCAATCCCGCCATTTCCAACAACGCTCGGTCTTGGTCTTGACTACCAGTGCCCAGATTAATCTTGCGGCGCGCTTCGGCTTCCCGTTCCTCCCACGCCCATCTCTCCGCCTGCGCGGCGGCTTCCTTGTCGCCGCCGCAGCCCCATACCTCGAGCTTGTGAATCTGGAACCGATCCTGAAAGTTGGACTTTCGCACCGCGCTCGTGTGAAACGCACCGCCACGGGACGAATAATCGTGGTTGAAGACGCCAAACTCAAACGAGCCATCCAACAGAAGCGATACCGCGCCCAGTGAGAATGTGGCGCTGGTACGGCCTGATTTTGTTGGCTTGGGATGGGGACACCCAAAAGCCATGCAGGGCTGATTGGCGGGCGCCTTTGTAAATGTGACGTAGTCGGTGTTGATGGTTGACGCCCGAAAGACGTCGTGTACGGGCTCCAGTTGAAAGAGGACGGTCTCGGAGTCGCCGAAACAATTTTTGTGGGTGTGCTTCCACGGCTCCCGAACGTACAGGCCGAATGTGAGGCGCTCGCCTTTGCTGCCATTCGGATACCGCTTTAGAGGCAGAGACTCGGCAAAGTTGGTCTCCTGCCCACCTTCTGGCTCGTCTCCGATCCGACTTCCGCTGACGAGCAATATCGTAGGGGCAGCCCAGTTGAACACTTTGGACTCGAAGCTCCCGATGGAGAAGCCCGATTCGTTTCCAGAATACAACAGGCGGACACGGTGGAATAAGTCGGAGGCGGGCAAGAATGTGGATATTTGAGCCAAGAGATGACCATTCAAAATCTCGCCATTGTTGAGAACCAGCGGCTGAGCTAGCTTTGCGGGCTGATTCTCGAGTTTGGCCTCGTCGCCCTTGTGTTTGGAAAAATCGAGATTCTTGGAGAATAGAAAGTGATTGAAGAGGTTATTGAACCCGCTGAAAAGGTTTGGAGCAATGACGGGCAGAAGTCGCTTGAAGTCATGGTATCGAATGCCAGGGGTTGTTTCTACATCGGCAAAGGACGATAAAATGCTCTCTGCTGAGGATCGTAGGTGCTCCAGTTCGGTGCCTGTGACACGATCGGAATATTGCGCAAGACTGTCTTGTTCACCTAGAGGAGCAACGAGGAGTAGCAGCATCACGAGCTTGCGAAAGTTGTCCATTGGTATAATTGCGCCGTGTACCTCGGGTACACTGCCTTGTTTGACGGCATCGCCGATATCCAGAAGCTCAAACGCGGTAAGAACGAGGTCATCGTCGGCGTATTCGTCATCATCTTCTTGTCCGGGCTGGTCAACAGTGAAGCCCAGCGACTTGGTACCGGCCTGATCCGTATCATCACTTTGGATAGTTGGTGAGATGGGACTTGTCGTAGATGCTTTGCGGTCATAGACTGCCATGCTCTTGAAGAGCAGCTTGGTACGGTCGGTTGACCCGCGAGCAAGAACCCGTTTATATCGTTCAGTCATGATGACTACGACCATTATAAGATGCGGAAACTCGATAATTACTGGTGCTTCGGCCAGGAAGGGAAAGGCACCCACATACGACACCATCTGGAACAAAACTGGCGACGCGCCAAGAATGTCGGGTATCTCCAAGTAGCGAGCGATGGTGTCTTCCTTTAGGTACGAGACGTCTCCCTGGCGATCGGCCAGAGTCTTGAAAACATCCTTGAGCGAGTAAAACTCGAGAGAAGTGAAGCATTTCTCCTTGAAGCGCACTGCCTATGTTGTAAAGGTCAGTCGTGCAAGATGGAGGAGCCGGGTGCACTGCGCTACTCACCAGGTCCTGTAGCAGCTCTTCTTTGGAGCGATGCGTCGACTGCTCGTCCGATATGACCTGCCCCATCTTCCCAAGTCTCTTCCTGCGTGGCGCTTTGCAGGATTTGGTGCGTAATGTGTGAGATGACTTTTCTCCAATGAAGTTCAATAACAATACAAGTACTTGCAGTCCTGCTGCCCTTGGGGTACCTCGAGTTGTAGCAGGCAGCAATGCTAACCACATTCTCGGAGCTAGGGATGACTGCCGACGTCACTACCTAGGTACCTAGTGGGGCTTCGCCCGACAGCCATTCAGTCTGGTTCATGCAGGGCTGATTGATGGGCGCTAGTGAAGTATGTGTTTGGATTTGTATTTTATTTACGCTATTTAACGACTGAAAGATCCCTAATTAGTAAAGAGGGCAAAGGACGCCCACCGGGGTCAGCCTAAAACGAGCGGGGGCGGCTGCGTGCCTTTGTAAATGTTATGTGGTCGGTGTTGGTGCTTGACGCTGGGGGGGCAGCATATAATTACTAACTACCTAAGTAAACCTCGAGTCCAGAGCCGTCAGAGGTCAAGTACGGTGCACTATTAATTATAACTGCAGTTAGTTTCATAGTCTTCCTAAAAACAGGACAGTATTCACGAGACTGTTGCCAAGTCTCCTCGTGTTGGCAAAACGCCTTGCGTACCCGCTGCGGCTGAAGTCACAACCGCAGATCGTCGAGTGTTGTAATTTTACATTTTTGCCCTAAGCCTTATATCTGCGTCGGTTTTCCCTCTCTCTTGTAAAATCTTTCGTGTAAAAACGTGACTCTGTATTTCACCGCCTCCCAACACCTGCGACCAGGACAAGACAGCAAGAGTAGCTATGCAGCCATTGACTCTGTTATTGCCATGCCTTCTGGCCATGACATTACCAGGTGCGAGCGCAAAAAAGGGCGGCAGTAGCGGAGACGGGAACTCAAACAATGACTCTCCTAGCAGTGGTGGTGGTAGCGGCGGCAGCGGCGGCGGCGGCTCTTCATCAGACGACTCTTCCTCTGGCGGCTCTTCAACCGGCGACGAGGGTTGCGGGATACCCGCTATCCCACCAGTCTGGAAATGGGACCTGATCCCCTTTCACGCCACAAACAACACCGGAATGAAGGGCGTCGGCTTGGGCTACGGCGGGTCATTCTTCAAGGGTGAGGCGTCGCTAAAGTACGTCGTCACGGCAGGTCAAAGATGCCGTCCGGGCGACTTGCAAACAAGCCACATGCTCGGCTATGCCTGGATCGGCCCGCAGCCGTCGTATCCAGCTAGTCCAACCAACTCTATCATCATAGGGTTCAAAGCGTGGGAAACAGACAAGTCGCTTGACAACATTGGCGACTCGTACGCGTACATCAAAAAAGACCAATTCTGTCCCAAGAAACCAGATCTGTTTCGCGTCACGACGACGCACGGGTGGTCCAATTTCTCCACGCGCACTACGCAGGCTGCCGACTTTATGAACATGACCCTCGCAGAAAGTGCTGCCAACTCGGACCAGGCGCTGTTCAACGCAACAATGATGGACGAGCTCAACTTCAAGCCTACAGACGACGGGCTGTTGCTGATACTACCCAAACGGGCGTGCTCAGACTCCCGAGAACATACTTTTCGACTTCCAGATCAGTTGACCATGAATGGATCCTTCACCAACACGACGCTCAACTTGGCGCTGTCAGGACGAGGCAACGCAACAAGCTCCAGCATCCGCGACAACGAAATCACTGCCGAGTTTGAGATTACTTTTACGGGGGTGTTTGACGCTGCCAACTCGACACACAAAATCAGCGTGCAACCGCAGAGCCAGCCGCTAGTCACTTGGGTGCAGAGTTTTGGCTTGCGTGCGACGGCGTTGCGGTGGAGCAGCAGTTTTGTCTATATTGCAGCAGCTCTCTTGTTGTTGGTATGAATCAAACATGAAGAATCATGTGACCGGAAGATGTCAGCATAGCGACCATGGCCACCGGCCAGGAACAACGGAAAAGGCTGAGCCGCAAGCCTGCAAGCCCAGCTGCAACCGAACTTGGCCATGACGATGGACGTAGACTAGTCTTGGCGAGCCGCGAGATGCTTCCAAAAGGTCACAAGAGCTCATCGCGAGATGCGGCTAAAGGACTATTTATTCGCGAAATGGCTGGCATAGATGTCGGCGTTGAAATAGGACTTTGGGAGGTCAATGTCGATACAGCAGGGTTACAGTACCAGCCTCGACGCTGTCTATCTCGCTGACTCTCACACTCTATCAACCACAACAAAGCAACTCGTCTCGAGGATTCTGTGAATACCAGCGCCAACGTTGTCTGTCAACAGCTTTTGCATCGCAACTAGTTTATGTAAGACTATAAAGTTGAAACTAGACCTAATGCCTTAGCCCATAGTATTAAAGTCCTAATCAAAAATATATTATAAGTAAATATACACCCTATTTACAATTATAGAACTTCAAGCTTAATAGCTATTAGTCACTCCTGGGGTGAGTTGTGCGGCTTCTAGTGGCTTTCATATTGCCGATACAGTATAAGCTAGTTAACCTTAGGACTCGCACTCGTTAGATGCTCCCTTTTAGAACCGCGTCTGCCAGCTATTGTAACTAGATCAATAATATCAACTGCCTAATCCACCAATCAACAAAGTGGATTAAATTTTACATAATCGAAAATAATATTAATTGAGTTGAGTTGACGCCAGTAGTTAACTATGTCAACCCGACCACCGTTGAGTAACGTGCAACCTTGCGAGCTGATCACAGGTGATTTTATCATCTCCAGTAATTACATCAAGTCTGCTTGTCTTTTCAGCATTGACAGAGTTGTCCAATAAATAAAATCGCCTGTTAAACACGCTTGCGACACGCTTTACTCGTTTTGGTTATAGTGCGTCTATTCAAAGAAAAGAAAGCAATAGATTAGACTCTGGCTAACTTGTACCTACTACATGCCGTGGGTATCCCTGGGCACAACCACATCCGGATGACTCCCCGTGTCTGTTGGATGATAAAAAGATTTTCTACGGGCTCCTGAACCGCCCAGCTCCTCGAATAACGCTCCAGGGCAGATAGTCTCTCCATGTAGACCAAGGCCAGGTATGGACCATGGAAGCGGCATCTGCTCGCTCAGTCTCAACTCACCTCCATGGTGAGCCGCATCGGCGCCCAACAACACAATCTGAAGCGGGGTCGGTTATAACGCGGGCAAGTGCACCCATGTGCCAAAGCGCAGCGCCATTGACAAAATAGCTTTCGGTGCGCACATTGACCTTGATTTCCTCACTCCAAGCTTTTAGCTATGTTATGTGATCCGACGACCTCTTCTTCCGCTGTGGGGCCGGCGGGATCTGCCCCTTTCGGTAATTTTTCTTCGGCCCCTAATGTCGTAGCCCGACTCTCAAATCACGTCTTCGCCTGGCCCCCCCCCCTTCAGGCGAGGCGAACGTCTGTAATTACCTTACCAACAGCCGTCACTTACTTCCGCCCTGTGGGTGTCAGGCGCAGTGGGGGGGCTAGCTAATCCAAGGCTCAGATGCGACGAGCACAGAGATGTCGTGATGGCAAATCCTTCAGCTTCATGGTTGAGTTGACGGGTCGCCGCCTGGCGACAGCCTCTTATAAAAAGGGAAGCTCGCCTCAATTACCCTCAGGGCCCAATCTCCATTAGCCGTTTTTTTTTTTTTGAGCATCTTGCCGATTTTACTTCATCTTTTCCCGACACACAAGATGGCCGCCACCCAGTCTCCCACCCCGGCAGCACCACCTTCGGTCATCACCGTCACCGCCGCCGCGGCAGAGGACAACAACGATGATGATGATGATGCCAACTTTGAAATCACCGGGGCTTTTGCGCACATTGCGCGCTTCATTCCCTGGTTTCGCAAGCCCCGCCGCGTCCTGCTCTTCAAGATGGACGTCATGCTCGTGCTGTGGATGTTTGTCGCCGGCCTCATGAAGGAGATGGACCAGTCGGCCACCACGCAGGCCTACGTCTCCGGCATGCGCGAGAGCCTCGGCCTGTACGGCAACGAGCTCGTCATGTTCAACACCTTCTTCTCCATTGGCTACGCCCTCGGCCTCGTGCCGGGACAGCTCATCCAGACCCGGCTCCGACCGTCCATCTTTCTGCCCATCTGCGAGGTCTGCTGGGGGTTTTTCGTCCTGTTGTAAGTCCACTCCCTCCCTTTCTCCCTCCTCCGGGCTGCTTTTTCTTTTCCAAAAAAAACAAAAAAACAAAAAAAAAAGTCAAGACTAACGCCGTCGGTAAACTCTCTCAGCACGTACAAGGCAAAGAATGCGCAGACAATCTACGGCCTCCGCTTCGTCCTGGGCCTGCTCTCGGCCTCGTTCTGGCCCTCGGTCGTCGCGCTGCTCTTCAACTGGTACAAGCCGAGCGAGCTCGCCGTGCGCCTCGCCCTGTGCACGGCCTCGGACGTTGCCGGCGCCATGTTCCTCGGCGTGCTGCAGGCCGCGCTGCACCGCGACATGGACGGCGTGCACGGCCTGCGCGGCTGGCAGTGGCTCTTCATCATTGCCGGCGCCGCCACCGTCGGCCAGGGCCTCGTCGCCTTTGTCGCCATCCCGGACTCGCCCGCCACCACGCGCGCCCTCTACCTCACCTCTTCCGACAAGCGCCTCGCGCGGCGCCGCATGGCCAGCTTCGGCGCCCGCACCAGCACGCCCGTCGGCGCCGCCGTGCTGCGGAGGAAGCTGCGCCAGCTCAGCGCGCACCCCGTCACCTGGTTCTTTCTGCTCGCCTTTGCGCTGGCCGCGTGGGCGCACCGCGCCAACGCCTACTTTGTGCTGTACCTCGAGAGCATCAAGGACGCCGACGGCAACAGGGCGTACAGCGTCTTCCAGGTCAACGTGCTGCCGCTCGGCGGCTACGCGCTGCAGATTGTCGCCAACGTCGGCCTCAACGCGCTGTCGGACAGGAAGCACTGGCGCTGGCAGGTCAGCATCGGCAGCCTGGCGTGGTACGCCGTCATCCTCGCCGTGCTGTGCGCGTGGCCGCGCAACGACACGGTCATTCTGGCCTTTTACTTTCTCACGTACAGCACGTACGCCGGCTCCTCGTCGCTGATGGCGTGGATGGCTGAGCTGTTGAGGAAGGAGCCCGAGGCGCGGTCCATTATCGTCGCGCTGACCGTCACCATTGTCTACGTGGGCCACGCGACGATTCCGCTGCGGGCGTTTCGGGTCGCCGACGCGCCGCGGTATCCCATCGGCTTCCCCATGGTCACGGCCATGACGGTGGCGAGCATCCTGGTGCAGCTGGGGTTTTTGTGGTGGGATAGGAGCCACCCAGGCATCGCCGAGTACGGCTTTGACAAACCGGCGACCGGGAACATTGCCGGCTCCGACGAGGAGGCCACGGCGACCGTGGAGGAGATTAAGATGGGTGGTGACAAGGACCACAAGTAGGAACGGACGCCGGCAAAACTGGTGCTCGAAAGTACGCAGCCGGCAAGAGTGCTTCAGCTCAGCTGATTTGAAACCAGGAATGGCAACGTAGAGGTATACATAAGAGTCAAAATATCGCGAGATGCCAAACAACTTGGATGACGACCCTAGATTTCGAATAGTAAGCACGGGCTTCTCTGATAATGTGGTTTAAAATGAAAAGAAAAAAAAAAAAACAAAAAAACTAACCAAAAGTAAAAAAAAAAGAAAAAAAATCTTAGGAAGATAAACAAGATAATACTATGAACTTTAAGCTACATACTATTGTCTTACGGTCGTAGAGTGAGTGGGCTCCGTGTGTCGGCCCCCCCTCGACCGGCCGGTTGTCCCCGACCATCTGCCTCGGACGGTTTGCTCGAGGTCGTCGATCAGCCGCCGACTCAGAGATTATCAGCTCAGAATACCAGGATACACGAACCCAAGCGCTTCCAAATCCCGAATCTTGTGCCTCTCGCCCCCCAACCTCCTCGACGCCGCCTTGACGAGAGGCGTCTGCGCCCTCAGCCACCTCTTCTCATCCGCCCAAAACGGCGGCATTTTGCCCAGCCCTCCTCCTTCGCCTTCCAGCGCCTCGTCCCGCTCAGCCTCGCGGCTCAGCCTGTGCATCTCGTTGATGTAGTCTACATCTTCAAGGGGGCCCATGACATGCAGTGCGGCAGCAGCTCCCTTGGCCTTGACTAGTGCCGTCTCCCACGCCCTCATCTCTGCAGTCGGGGGCAGGACCAGGCGTCCGGCCCAGACGCGCGACACCCACGCCGCCTGGCCCTCGGCAAAGGGGAACGGCACAATGCGCTGCGGGAGCCCCAAAAAGGCCAGCGTCGGGTCGTCGATGCGGAAGACGTGCTGGTACAGGCCGTGCACGCACGCGCCGTCGCTCACCAGCACCGAGCCGAGACTCTGGAGGAAGGGAAAACTGTAGAGGTAGCCGGTGCAGAAGACGACTGCGTCGATATCCGTTTCGATCTCGCCGTTGGCGAAGCGGACGGAGCGACCCTTTGATATGAATTCAATAATCTCGGGCATCCCCTTTGCCCAGCACGGGGTCGGCTCCTCGAGCGCCGGCTTGGGACGGTGTTTTTCAGAGATTATAACCGGAAGCTTGGCTGACGTTGAGATTTGAGCGCTAATGTCGCTGCCTGATGCAGAGTGGCCGACGACAACCACCTTCTTGCCCGCAAACTCTTCCGGACGTCTGTATTGCTTCGCGTGCGACACGAGCCCCGGATGCGAGTGGTTAAAGGCCTCGAGGCCCGGGACGCACGGCGTAAACGCCTCGCTATAGTGCCCATTGGCGATGACGACGGCATCGTAATACGACGTTGACATCCCATCACACCCGACGCGGCATGTCTGAATCTCCCACACGTTGCGGCCTTGCCTTGCGACCTTTTGCACGGAGACGACCCGTGTCGACAGCTTAATCAGCTTGCCGAGCGGCTCAGCGTAGGCGTCGAGGTAGCGCTTGACGACCTCGTGGCGCGGAAACAGCGCCGAATCCGCTGGAAAGTCCAAATCTGTATAGTTCATCAAGGTATGCGGAATGTTGGTCTCCAGCAAGTCGTAGACGGGAGACACCCACCATCCGAAGTCCTTTGCGTTTGGCGTGTAGGCCCAGACGCCGCCGACGGTTGTATGCTGCTCAAACACGTCGACCGCTGAGAATCTCTTCTCCGCTAAGAGATATCCGATGCCCTTTTATTAGCCAGGCATTCAGATAGATAGATAGACTGGCGCGAGCGGGAGGGGAAACTCACTTGGCGGCGGCGAGGCCACAGGGACCGGCGCCGATGACGGCAACGCGGTCAATGTCTGCTGCGCGACATCTCTGTGCTGGCGACATGATGGGAATAACTACCGATCCATGGAAGACGGGTGACTACGTGACCCCGACTCGCTTATAATCGCGAGGTGTTGCCATCTCTTGATACCGAACTGCTGCTTGACTAATTCAGGACTAATAACATAAATCGCCGTCGTCGGGGTGGCGCCGTACTTTTTTTTTTTTTCCTTTTTATTTGGCCATCTAGGCCTTGGCGCAACATCACGCAATCGCTTGGTGCTCCATTATCCTCGCGGAGGGGGGCAACAGATAAGGCTGGCGTCGGGGCACTCCGACCTTCACGAACTAAAACTTGGGGGAACGCGGTGGTCGCTAGCTCACAAGAGAGAGAAAGCCATAAAGACGGAGAAAACTTACGGTGCCTCGTGTCTTCTAACTAATTATCTGCTGCCATGAATAATGACGACTTGCGGGCTAATATCCACCGCTTCCGGGTCCGCCCTACGTCTACGGCGGCGGCGGCGGCCGAGTCGGCACCGCCCCGACGCCGACGCTCCTCCTCCGCCTCGCCTCTCGTCGGACCCCTAACCCCCATCGCGCGCGACGTCGTCATCCCTGCGTGTGACCGATGCCGAAGCTTCAAGAAGAAGTGCAGTCGTACGTTTCCCGTGTGCTCGCTGTGCGCCCGCGCCGGCCGCGACTGCTCCTTTTCGGCCGCCGCCGCCGCTGTATCGTCGTCGTCGTCGTCGGCTAAGGTCCAGGTGCATCACCTGCGCGCCCGCGTCGCGTGGCTCTCCCGTCTGATTGACGAGAACAACCTCCTCGCGCGGGGGTGCCCCAGTATCGAGGGCGTCACCACCGGATCCGACCTGACGGGGATGCTGGCCAGCCCCAGCCCCATCCTTCCTGCTACTAATGTGTCGTCGTTGCCGGCTGTGACCCAGCCAGACCTGGCGGCTGCTTCTCACGCCCACGGCACGGGGGAGACGACTTTAGCCTCTATCATAAACCGGGAGCATGAGCCCGTGGAATCCGATGCTCGTCTCGCCGCGGCCCAGTACAGGCTCAGCGGCAACCTCGCTGGCGGCGCACCACAGAATCCTCTGGCGCGCACGCTGGTCGACGCCTACTTCCGCCACATCCACCGGGCATACCCATTCATGAACCGGGCCCTGGTGCTACGAGACCTCGCCGCCCTCGGGCCCGCCGCATGGCCGCCGCGGCGGCGACGCGCCGACTCTACCTTGCTCTTCCTCGTCATGGCCCTCGGATGCACCACCCTCCAGCGCTCCGGGCAGATGCCCCGCGACGCACCCGCCACCTTTGCCGTCCATGTTCCCGTCGCGGACATTCTTCAAGAGTGCGTCCTCGGCAACGACATCGAGTCCATCCAGATCCTCGTCCTCCTCGCGCTGCACTGCATGTACGACCCCGCCCCGGGGCTGACCTGGTCCGTCGCCGGCATCGCGGCTCGCCAGGCCATGGCGCTTGGCCTGACGCGCCGCGCCGACGCCTTCCTCTCGTCGACAGACCGGGAGCTCCGCCACCGGCTCTTCTGGAGCACCTGGGTGCTCGACCGGGTCATGGCATACTCAACCGGTCTCCCGCCCGCGCTGTCCGACGAGAGCATCGACGTCCCGCTGCCCGGCCTCGCCGTGGAGGAGTTTGCTTCCCCCGAGCGGCCGCGCTTCGCCTCGGCACTGCAGATCCATCGGCACGTCATCCGTCTGCGGCAGCTCGAGGACCGCATCCTCGCGCAGGTGCTGTCCGGCGGCAAGGAGCTCGCTGCCCAGCACGACCGTCGCGCTGCCATCAAGGAAATGAGGACGGAAATCGAAAACTGGTACAGTGACGGCTGCCTGCTGTCGCCCGTGGAGCCGGACAACGTCCCCTTTCACACGTCGGTCGCGTGGCTCAGCGCGCGCTACTACCACGTCCTGCTGATGTTGCATTATCCATGCCGCTTCAACGGTTTCGGGGCCATCATGTCGTCGCTCGACCTGCTGCGCTTCGCGCAGAAGCACCTGCAGTCGACTCTCGTCCTCCTTCAACAGCGACAGCTCCCGCTAAATATCGTCACCTTGGCACGTACCCTGCCCGTCGGCCTGGCGCTCGTGCACTGCCTCATGAGCGGCGTCGTCGAGCCGGCCTCGACCACCGACGCGGTCGACACGCTGATTGACGTATTCGAAGCTTTCCCCGACACCTGGACGCACGCTCGACGAGCGGCACGCGTGTTCCGGCAGGTGAGAATGGCTGTCGCTAAGATAGCGTCACAGCAGCAGCAGCCGCTGCCATCATTCTCAGACGACGCCCGACCGCAACCCGGCGAGTGCAAGTCGTCGTACCAAGAGCGCCTGAGGTCGCTGGCTGCTGTCGTGACGAGCATCATGGAGGAAGTGCTCGGCAAGACGACCGGCTATGCCATCCCCGAGTTTCTCTGCGAGCAGGCGGCGAGCAACGGCAGGTTTTATACGTCCAACTCACCCACCAATCCAGTTCAGGCGTCCATAGCCTCAGTACATGACGAAACAGCGGCGGAGCATGGTTGGGGGTCCCTGCAGTTTGCATTTCTGTAGACCAAGTTCCTGGAGACGAGGATCTGCATTTGACAGTATAGGGTAGCAAGCGAGGAGTTCTGGAGTTTGTCGGTCATTGCCTTGTTATTCCTCATACTAACCAGAGGTAGTAGACATAGCTAGAACTATATTCCAATTTTGGTATCTATTAAAAGTCTTCTTGGCCTATCAAAGCAAGCCAGCGGCTGTCAAAAAGAAGTACCAAGAGTATCAGGTAAGAAAACTAGCATAAATACTTACATTTTCGCTGCGAGAGTTTGCTGGTCTGCTGCTCGCCGGCGCCGCGCGCGACGTCGTCATCCCTGCATGCGATCGGTGCCGATGCTTCAAGAAGAAATGCAGCCGTACGTTTCAGGTGTGCTCGCTGTGCGCCCGCGCCGGCCGCGACTGGATGTGGTGAGGATGTGGTGAGGATGTGGTGAGGTTGTGGTGAGGTGAGGATGTGGTGAGAAGAAGCAGAAGAGCACGAGGACAGCGGTGGGCAGGTGAATTTATAGTATACAGCAGCTCGCTTACCGACTGCAATGACAGCAGGAGTATCGCAAGCACGAGACTTTAGGCGAGTGGCCGCTATCGGCCAAGATCTCTTCGTCCCAGAAACACAGGTCCTAAACTTTCCCAGTTTACATCATCACAACCTAATCCACACCAACTGCGATCTTTGACAACTCAACCTACCGCAAGCCTGATCAGAGATGGCTAGTGACAAAACGTCCTGGGATTACCTGCCTCCCGAGATTCGGAACGAGATTGTTCATCTCCTGCCAATACTCGGCGGCAAGTGCAGTCAGCTCGCGACCGTTTGCAAAGCTTGGCAATCAATCATCGAGCCGCTCAACTTTGCCGAGATCACCCTGACGGTACCGCGCCTTACCGAACTCGATTCCCGAGCTGTTCTCTTTCGAAAGAGACACCAAATTCGTTACATCTGTTTTCATGTGGAGTTGGACTTCGACCACAGATTCAGTGCACTCACTGACCAGGACCCTTGGACGTCGCACGACCCCGACGATGAATTCATGGCGGATGCGTTTGAAAGACTGTTCACGACGCTGAACAAATGGGAGCCTTGCGGTGACTTGACTCTCGATATAAGTGTCTACTTCCCCGGTGACATCCAGCACTGGTTCAAGCACTTTAGATTCTGCCCGGACACCAGCCTAGCGGAGTGCCCGTCTCGCCACGGACAAGAACAAGGAACCACCCTGCATGACGCGGTCCATGGCTGGGTTGCCGAAACCTTCGATGGGCCTTGTCCAGAACGATGGTGGCCGACCCCGGAAGTAAGCCAGAAACTTGCCCGCGCCAGTCTGTTCCTTACGAGGCTATCCGGCTCTTTCATGGCCGACGCCGGTCACTTCTCTGCTGCGCATCGGGATCTATGGACGTGGACGCATCTCACTCCATTTTGGTAGGAAAACATTCAAGGGCGACGGCTTCAAAAAGCACCCAGGTTGCACGGCATAATTAGGATCGTGCTCATATGATGAGCTTTCATGGCTAGTGGATTGCCTATGTATAATTTGTCATATATCTCGTACAAAAACTTCACACCTAAAACGCCATTAATGACCAGTAACTGACCCGACCAAGTAAAGATTCAATAGTGCCGCCCAAGTTTGAGAAGCTGTCCGCCTGCTCCCAACAGCGCGCACGCTCGCGTCTCTCGGAAATTACGAAAATCACACGTACTCATACTCTTTTTCCTCGATAGATCTGATTAGCTTTTGGTATTTTTGTTGCGCCTCTTCCTCGGCGTCGATGCGAGGTATCTGGCGCGACGGGGTCATCGACGCCCTGTTGGATCCAGCGCTCACTGTCCATAGCACGCCAGGCTTCACAATCTCCGCCTTTTCTTGCTCTGCATTAGAGACTGGGCTATTTTTTTCAATGCCTTTACTTGTCTCAACTTCGTCGGGATTTTGAGCATGGCGGGGAAGCTGCATGGCAAGAAGTACATATTCGGCACGTGTCATGTTGTCCATGACGTCGTCCATGTATCTTCTGACTTCGTCTTGTGGTGCCACGACCCTGGCAAGATTCTCCAGGTGTCGACCAGTGTTGGTCTGGAGACGGATAGTGACAGGTTGGTAGTAGTCAAGTTGGGGATCCCCTCCATATTCCGACGTGCTTCCTTTGCGCACAATGAGAAAGGATGCGACCACTTGTTGGCCGGATGTAGTCGGCAAAAACTCCAAGATGCTGAACTTTGGAAATAGAAACCGGTCACCGGCTCCAAAGTCAAAACAAACAGCAGCAATGTCTGGTCTAGAGGCAGCAGCTGGAGCTTTCGCACGCATGGGCTGTTGCGGGTTGATACTATTCGTCAAATGAGACTGCTGCGTTCTCATGCCGTTATTGGAAACTCCGTTGGGAGTCAGCTGTCGTCCCGAGGGCTGAGCATGAAAGCCTTGCGGGACAGTCTTTGCGTCTCTGTTGAGACGATCAAGGGTCTCCTTGAGGTCGGTCGCGTCAGTGTTTCCTGGGCGGTTTTCCGCGATTCTGCGAATCATGTCTCTCGTCCGCACGTCCTCAAGTGCAGTTTTGACCAAGAGGACGACGAGAGGGTCGCTTCCAGGGGGTGGGCGCAGCTCGCTCGACTTTTGGTTCGGGTTTGAAGCCAAGACAATGTCAAGAATTGTGCGAACTTCCTCTGCAAAGTACTTGACGGTTCTCCCATCAACCGACAACCTATCCGCTGATGGGCCCTGCTGACCGCCTTTACTCTTATATTCGGCGTTCAGTTGGTCGATAATCTTTTGAAAATGGGCCAGTTCACCGGGTTTGGCCTGACCGACAGCAACACGCTTCATCAGGTCCCGCAACTCCGGGTCGCTAGAGGCTTTCTGAGCAAGCAGCGCAATGACAGGGTCTGTTGTAGCGGGCTTTGCGGCCGCCGGTGCTGGACTGGCACCTGGAGTTGCAGAAGCCCGCGGAGGGGCGGCTTGCTGGGACGGTCCTGGAGAGGCAGTGTGTGCTGCTCTTGTGGCAGGAGTAGCCGGAGATTGTACCGGAGCCGACGCTGCTCCTGTCGACGTGCTAGGCGCGATTCCTTGTGGATGGCTTGCAGGTGTTGGGAGGCGTTGTGCACTGCCTGCGCTGGGCGTGGCATTATTCGGTGCAGGTGATGCTGTAGCTTGTTGACTAGCTGGTTGTGCACCAGGCTGAGGAGGTTGGGATTGTGGTGAAGGGGAATGTGTCGACGCTGGCCTGTTCATCGGGCTTGACATGTTATGCGGCTGTGCTGGCGGTGGCATGGCACCATTGGCAGGTCCATACTGAATGATGGGACGAGCAGGCTGCTGCTGGGGTGGTTTCTGAAGCACATGAGGTGAAGGCTTTGGCTTGGGCCCTTTCACTGCGTACATGGTCGCCTCGACAATGTGCGGTTCGATGGTGATTGTGACATTGCCAATTTTGTTCATGGAGTCTTTAGGAGGGTTCTTGGGATCTTCGATGAGCACACCTTTTTTCTTGTGCGGTTTTGTCCAGTACTTTTCGAACAAACCTTCGCTGATCCATCGTTGTCTCGACCGCGCGAGTGACTCGGCAAGGACACCACTATGGAAAAAAGACAAAAGTTAGCTTGTGTTTTGGAATAAAGTGAAGGCATTGGTCGTAGCCATTGGATGTGCAAACCTTTCCGAGATGGATTGGAATTCCTCTGGGGACAGGTCGTGGGACTGAGCGACCTCGATGGTTGGCAGCGGCTTGCCCGACTCGACAGAGGTTGGCAATGGCGGGCGCGGAGGCGTCGGCGGCGATGGCTCAACGATGGGCTCTGGAGGCGGCGGAGGAGGAGTAGGAGTCTTTGTACGGTCGCGAGCTGAAGCATTGCGGCGCTTGGCGAGCTGCTCTGCGCGGGCCGCAGCCCGGGCCGGCAGCTTTCTCTTCCTCTCCATGTCGACAAAGAGTGGTGAGTTGGCTGGCCTACGACGCGGCGAGAGGCTAGCAAACCATGATACCTGGTGATGGGAACGCAGAGCGGGCTGCTTTTGGGAGGCGAGGAGAAGCAGCCGCGATCTCTCGTGGTCGGGAGCAAAAGGGCCTGCCTTTGGGGGGTTGTTCTTTGTCGAGAAGCAAGGTGCAAGAGCAGGGAAACGGAGCAGCAAGGCGTGCCAGAAGAGCAGCAGCGCCGTAGTCAGTGCCCGTTGAGGTCCGCGTACGAGCCAGCGGTAGCGAGGGCACTGTGTTGAGCGCGTGCTGTGATTGGCTTACGCGCAAGGCGGAGTCGGCAGCCCAAGCCAAGTCGGCCTGTTGGGGCCTGCGATTGGTTGCTTCCACTGGCTGGTTCCGCCGCTAGAGGCCTGGAGGACAGCTCCAAAAAAAACATGCTTGGTGGATTCCAGGTCCTTCCAGCGGGCTTACGAGCCTTGCAGCCACTACAACGGTGCAATAGTGTCCCCAAGTAATATCGAGCAGCCTGGGGTTCGTTGGTGACTTCTCTGAAATGCATTGGGGCCCACTATAGAATGGTCCAAGCAGGCACGTAGGTGCCGAACCAGCCGCTAAAGCCTCCAGCTCACAACCACCACGACACTGAAAACCCACTTCACCACGGCGGCTATAGCACCTCCGGGCCCACACCGAAACGCGACAAGGCACACCAATCTCCGCGACTGATGGCGCACTCGTAGACGGGCAGCTGCACAAAGTCACATTCGATGACTCGCGAGTTCAGCTTTGATCAATGTGAAAATTGGAGAGTAGTCCAAGTAAGTAACTCAGAATTAAGGGTCAAGTCCCAGGAGTGTTTGCCGGCTATTAGGACCCCCACTGTCTCGGCCACACGCCGAGAGGCAGGCAGCCTTGGCCTGACTCTAGCCTTGATTTGTAGGTTGTTAGGTGTTCATTCCACTAATACGGTAATACCACACAGCTTGGCACCCAAGCACCCACTCATTCATCCACTGCAACATACAGCGTTCTTGCTTGCGGTACGCGTCGCGCGCTGCCTTCTACCTACCTACCTACCTATTAAACACTGGCCCCACGCTATTTGTCTGACCAGCCTTACCGCCATCACCGCCGATTGTGACGGTCTTGTGACCAAGAAAGCAGGGCGAGGGCCTCAGTAACAGCAATATGACTCCAGCCCTTCTTACAGTTTCGCTCGCCATTGCCGCGGCTCCCTTCCTCTTCTACACGGTATTCCTGGGCGTCTCAACAATCCCCTTTCTCCAGCGTCAGTGAGTCAGCCCCTTGCTGCTCGTCGCATTATCCGTCGGCTAAATCGGATAGCGCATTATACGCTCATAAAATCAATACACTGTTCCTGTACGACGTGAATGAGCCGACCTACTGGGGCTTTGCCAGTGCGCGCCTTCGCCTCACTACGCTTCGTCTTTTCTCACTTCACTAACCTGGAGCGCAGAGAACCAAGTAACGCCGTTCAGTCTCACAACACCAGATCACGAGACCATATATGCCTGGCATATTCTTCCACTTCCGCTGTACTACAAGAATGAGGACAATTTGGCCGTTCAGCCTTCCGGCTTGGCTGTGGACATTAACAAGACTGAGGCCTTTAAATTATTGAAAAGCAACCCTGAGGCAAAGCTGGTTCTATCATGCAAGTGCTCACCCATTTGTCCACGCCCTTGATACTAACGCATCTGTTGCAGTTCATGGAGTATGATGCTTATGCCTATCACTTCGGCCATGGCGTCGCTGACCTGCTTTCCAGAATGCCGGGCACGTTGCCCAAGGAATGCGGCCCGAGACCTTCCATGCACTGACCGATACAAGCTCGTATCATGTCTTGTCCATCGACTACCGCGGTTTTGGCCATTCAACTGGTGTTCCCAGTGAGGCCGGGCTGATCCGGGATGCGCATACATTGGCCGAGTGGGCGATCAATGTCGCCGGCGTTTCTCCCGACCGCATCGTCATTCTTGGCCAGAGCCTAGGAACAGCTGTCGCCACTGCCGTCGCAGAGAAGTACTCCAGACAGGGCGTCGAGTTTGCGGGCATCGTTCTCGTTGCTGGCTTTAGCGATCTCGCCACTATGATTGGCGGCTATCGCATCGGTGGCCTCGTGCCGCTGCTCGGCCCGTTTAGCTACTGGCCAGGTTTTGTCAAGCTGTTGGATCGTTTCATTGTTGACAAGTGGCACTCGGCAGATCGTCTAGTCAGTATTGCTCGTCGGACGAAGACGCGCCTGCGTTTAAGTTTGCTACACGCAAAGGACGATGCCGATATTCCCTACACTGAAGACGACAAGCTTTTCAGAGCAGCTGCGGGCGAGCTCGTTGGCAATATCAGCGAGGATGAATTCCGCGCCATGAAGGAGCAGCATACAGTACACAAAGGTGAAGATTCGGCCGTGACGACTTGGAAAGCAGAGCCAAATATTGTCATTCGACAAGAGCTGATTCCCTACGGTGGTACGTAAACCTCTAGCAAGGAAAATTCTCCACTAATGCGCTATAGGACACAATTACATCATGGGCTCCTCTAACGTGATAATGGCTGTCCTGCGTTGCTTCGATGATTGAAACTGGGCAGCTAGCACAGGACAGTGTGAACTTGTGTAGACAAAGCATACTCTCTGACGTCTTTTTCTCCCTACGATTAGACTTGTAGTAACCGCTGATTTTGATTCTTGGAGCCTTTACATAAGATGAGACGTGCCATTTCAACAACTAAGATGGCGGAGATCGCAGGCGGGACCACCGTCGAGTCTCTGGAGGACCAGGGGAGGCAAGCGCGCAATCGATGTTCGGTGCCTTTAACATCGTATAAAGTTGGTACTACATAAATAGAAGGCGAGAAGACACGTATTGTTCTCTCCTGCCAAATTAGCAAGACGCCGTGTCATGACTAATATCGAAAGTTACCCGCCTGTTCATTTGGGTCTGCAGTTTTATAATTCCCATCGATAGAAACAACATGGGCAGAACAGGAATAGCTTTCTTGATGCATGGTAAATGTCCAAGACTTTGACTCGGAGCATGCCTTGTGATTTAGTATAATTAACCATTGGCTTTTGCCGTGTAAGCCAAGCACACGATCTAGACACGGCCCGCCACGCGGGGCAGAAAAACTTCAACCTTGGTCGAAGTGGGGCTAAAAAACAAAGGCGGTAAGTATACCTAGTCTGCAGGTCCTTTTACATATACTACAGAGTACTACTGAATATATTAGAGTATATAAGGCATGTGCCTAGAATATATAGGGAATATGCCTTGATGGTACCAAGGTTAATAGCGCTAGAGTTGATAGCTTGAGTTCATAGCTAGCTGCTAGAATTAATAGCGCCAGAGTTAATAGCGCCAGAGTCAACAGCTAGCTGCCAGAGTCAATGGGCAGCTGCCAGAGTCAACAGCGCCAGAGTTAATAGCGCTAGAGTTAACAGCCTAATATTTCTATATATTCCCTGTATATGTATGGTTGACATATGCTAGGTGTATACTAAGGGTTTAGAGCGGCTGTAACGCATCTGCAATTGAGTATCCATTTTCTGCCTTTTTTCGCCTTGCTTCGACCAAGGTCGAGGTTTGTTCGACCAAGGTTCCTGAACTGGTTCCCCCAACCCCACCATGATCAACCAGCTACCTGGCCACTCAACCCCAACAACCCCTCCACTGCCCGCGAAGCAACAACAACAAGACAAGATGGCCTCGGACGGCAAAAAAACGGCGGACGCGCCGAGCGGCAGCGCCGCCGGCGAGCAGCAGACCAATAAAGAAGTGCAGCGGATCCTCGACACCCTCTCCCCGCAGCAGCTGTCGGAGCTCATCGCGCTCAACCCCGCGCTGGCGCAGGAGGTTGCCCAGGCCACGGGGTCGTCGAATCCGACGCCGGACCAGGCGGCCGAGATGCTAAAGAAGATGAAGCTCGAGGACCTTATGTCAGGCTTCGCTGCTAGCGGCAAAAACGTCAAGGACATGGCGTCGTACAAGTTTTGGGCCACGCAGCCCGTGCCGCGGTTCGACGAGGACCAGACCGTGCCGGATGGCCCGCTCAGGGTCCAGACGGTTGACCAAATCTCCAAGGAGCCTGCTGATCTCGTGAGCGGCTTCGAATGGGTCACAATGGACCTGAAAAGCGAGGAGGAGATCAAAGAGGTCTATGAGCTGCTCAACGGGCACTATGTCGAGGACGATGACTCGACCTTTCGGTTCAACTACTCTCCTTCCATTCTCCGATGGTACGTGCCGCCAGATTTCGTTCTTTCTCTTGCATGATCCTAATCCCACGTAGGGCCATGATGGCTCCCGGCTGGCACAAGAGATACCATGTGGGCGTCCGCGCCTCGCAGTCGCGCAAGCTCGTGGCCTTTATCTCGGCCATCCCCGTGCACCTGCGTGTGCGGGACCAGAGCATCACGGCATCCGAGGTAAACTTTTTGTGCGTGCACAAGAAGCTGCGCGGCAAGCGCCTGGCGCCGGTGCTCATCAAGGAGGTGACGCGCATCAGCAATCTCGAGGGGGTGTGGCAGGGCCTCTACACGGCGGGCATCGTGCTGCCGCGGCCAGTGAGCACATGCCAGTACTACCACCGGCCTCTCAACTGGCAGAAGCTGTACGAGGTTGGCTTCAGCTACCTGCCGCACGGTAGCAAGCCCCAGTACCAGGTGCGCAAGTACGCCGTGCCTGAGTCGACGGGCACTCGGGGGTGGCGCACCATGCGGCCCGAGGACGTCCCCGCCGTCGTCGACCTGCAGAGCCGGTACTCGAAGCGCTACGACATTGCGCCCGAGCTCTCCGCCGACGAGGTCGCCCACTGGCTCGTGCCCAAAATCGAGCCCAGCGGCGAGCAGGTCGTCTGGACGTACGTCGTCGAGGGCGCCGACAAGAAGATTACTGACTTTATCTCCTTTTACTGCGTCGAGTCCTCGGTCATCAAGAATGCGCGACACAACGTGCTGCGCGTGGCATACCTCTTCTACTACGCGACAGAGACGGGCCTCGCGGAGCCCGAGGACCGGGCGGCGCTCAAGACGCGTCTCAACTCGCTGGTCAGCGACGCCCTCACCATGGCCAAGAAGGAAAAGTTTGACGTCTTTAACGCGCTGACGCTCATGGACAATGGTCTCTTCCTCGAGCAGCAAAAGTTTGCCCGCGGCGACGGCCAGCTGCACTACTACCTCTTCAACTACCGCACAAAAGCCATTGCCAGCGGCATGGACGCCAAGGGACAGCTAGACGACAAGAACCTGAGTGGCGTTGGTCTTGTGCTACCTTGAAGAAGAACGCAAAACTGATTGACTGGATGAGCAACGTATATATCTAGAAGAAGAAGAAGAAGAAGAAGAAGAAGAAGAAGAAGAAAACGACATGCAGGCTGAGAAGTAGATTATCAGGTAGAAAAGACTTGAATTGAAAGCTACATAGGTTTTACATGCATGAGAAGTGCTTTCCAAAAAAATCATGAGCGCCAGCAATCGGCCCCGCGCACATAGATTGATGACGGCTTACACGCAGCCAGGCGGGCACAGATGTACTCGATTGATCATCCAAACTTCGTTGTGAAGCGTGTTGGGGGAATAAATGAGAGGTTAAAAAAAAGATAACAAAAAGGAAAAGGAAGATGCGCAAAAAAAAAAAAGGTCTACATCTTGGAATCTGTATCCATCCGGGACCACGCCGCCAGCCTCGTCTCCATCAGCTCATTGAACCACGCCGCGCGCTCCATGATGGGCGCGTGGCCCATGCCGTCGACAATCAGCCCTACGCCGGGCTTGATCAAGCGAATGAGCTTCTCGCCATTGTTTGCGCCAATCATGCGGTCGTCGGTGCCGTGCACGACGAGGATGCGCTCGCGGCCGACCTGCTCGGCCATGGTGCGCAGCTGCGAGGCGGACTTGCGGTGGCCGACGACGGCGGCCAGCTGGCACAGCAGGCCCTGCCGCGAAAAGACGTTGGGCGGGTAGTATTTGGTCAGCTCCTCGGCCTGGTACCGCTGGTAGTTGCTGCCGAAGCGGCGGTACGCGCCCGCGGACGCCGCCTCAGTCCCGCCGCCGCCGCCTACGCCATCAAGGTCGAGTCCCTTTTCGAGGGCTTCCGCCATGAAGCCGCCCTCGGACTGCGGGGAGAGGTCCACACCGCTGTCATTCGGCCTCAGCATCGTCGCTGATGCGTCTTCTCCTGCGCCCGTCGCCGCCGCCGCCATCATCCTCGACACAGGCGCCGGCCCGCACCGCCTCGTCGTGTGCGGCGACGGCAAGCCCGCGGCCTCGTCCGGCGCCGCGAGCCACGCCTGCGGAAACAGCCGCTCGGCGGTATCGTGCACGATGCGGGCGAGCGACTTGGGCCGCAGCAGGTGGAAGCGGTCGCAGAGCGTCTCGAGCACGGGGCGGTCGCTCTCGAGACACGCCGTGGTGCACAGCAGCGACAGGCTGGCGAGGCGGCGCGGGTGCGCGCACGCGAGCTCCTGCGCAATCATCCCGCCGAGGGACAGCCCCACGACGTGCAGCGAGCGCGGCGCCGTCCAGCCGAGGTGGTCGAGCACCTCGACCACGTCGGCGGCCATTTCGGTCGTCGTGTACCGCGCGAGGGGCTTGTCCGACGTGCCGACGCCGCGGTTGTCGAGGAGGAGCATGGTGTACTGGTCGGCGTGGTCGTGTCCAAAGTAGCACGTTTGTCGTTGCCAGGCGTTCATGCTGGCGGCGAGGCCCATGATGAGCTGGTAAATTGTTTTCATGTTAGCTCGGTTGACCCTTTCCAAAAGGTTCCCAACTCATATTACGTCTTCATCCTTGGTCATCCACTGCAAGTGGTTTCAACGGCACTCTCAAGGTGCGCGCATCAAGACTTGGGGAGGAGTTTTTTTCACAAGTCGGTACATACCACAATCTTGATGGGCCCGTGACCGTGAATCTGCCAGGCAATGTCAATCGGCCCCGAGCGGTCCTTTGCGACCGACGCCTTGCCTTGGCTGTCGGGTATGAGGTCCCATTTGGCGCCGGGATACGCCGGGTGGTTGAGCGTCTCGTCGATTGACGGGAACCGTAAAGCGCTGCACAACAAAAAAACATCATTAGCGAACTGCGATGGCTTCCAGCTGCTTGTACATGTTGGAGGGGTTTGTGTTTCTTTTTTGCTGGCGAAAATGGCCGTTGTCGCCCGCTGGTCGTTTTGTTGTTTGCCGAGGCTAACACGGGAACGGCGACGAGGCAGCACAAGCGCCCAGGCAAAGCAAGAAGAGATTAAGATTGTGCAAAGAGGGGAAAAGAAAAAAACATGAACAAACAAGTTAAATGAATATCAAGTCGCGTAATGTGTAGCAAGGGGATTTATTAAAAACAAGTGCATCTCGACGTACTCTGAAGCCATGGTTATGAAATGCTAGTATCCCAAGTAAAGATGGCGGGCGGAACTCGAGAGCAGGCAGCAGTGTATATGCTGGCCAAAGGTGGCGGGCGTATGCAATGGCGGAAGCAAAATAGTCGTCGAGTCCAGCTCGCAGACCGTCAAGAGCTTGGATATGTTTATGAAAAGATGGATTTATTGAGAATAAATCGTATGACGAGAATGAAAGGAAGAATGAGTCGACAGATATGATGCGAAACGAGTTCCGGAGAGCAGTTAGAGAAAAAGGGCCGTGTTGTTTTTGGGGTAGATGTAGGTAGGCAACGAAGAGGCTAGAGTGTGTATTCCCCGCCGCCACTTGTTCTTCTTGCCGTTGTCTAGTTACGTGTGTCCTTTTTTTTTTTTTCTTTTTATTACCTAGCACCCCGCGCCTTTTCTTTTTTCTTTTTGTTCGCAACTACCAGTGACTAGCCAATCACACTGTCACAGCAGAAGAGTGATTGGTGTGTGGACCTGCGGCTCCCGAATCCTGACTCGAACTCATGGGCTCGCGGAACGTTTTGTATTTTAGCCCAAAAGTCGCCTCTAACTAAGTAGCTCGTCTACCGTAGCCATCCATCCCTTTCCCACGATTTACGTCTTCTGCTTTACCAGTTTTTTTTCCTTTCATTTGTTCGCACCTACAGGACATTGATACTAGTTGTTACTCAATAACCAAAATGAAAAAAAAAAGGGGGGGTTCACAGACAAACACAAAAAATCCGGGGTCTAGCATGAACCGGGGTTCGTCGTCACTCTGAGTGGGCGTGCGCCAGCCGCCTCAACATATACCCCCGGCTGGCGACTTGTTGCCGAGCCAGATTTCAGCCGCATTTATACTCCCTCTACGGATTAGCTCTTGCATTATTTTTCAAATGGCCTATTCCTATTTTTGTTTTTATTTTCCACCCTCATCATTAACTCGAGATGGCCTAGCTTTGTCTCTGAATTGCCCTAGTATGGATAGCTGCCATCTCCCCACAAGTCATTCGCCGCCATTCGGCCCAGCTCGGTAGGCGGATTACGGAAACGGCCTCCGGCTTTGCCTTTTCGGCTCCGGTACCTCCAACGCTTCCTCGGCTAATAGACTTTTTGCTCGCATCTCATTCGGTCAACTTGGGACAAACGTGGCGTAGTGCACCCTCGATTCTTGCTTGCAACGCGTCGTTGCTCCATTTCTATTAAATGTACAGCCAAGCCCTTTGAAAAGGATTTTTTGCGTCCATCCTGCCCCAACTCATGGCAAACTGACTTTCTGCCTTCACTACCGTGTCTTCTCCGCATCGTGCGCCCGAACGGCCCCTCACTTCAATTCCCCGAACCCGTCCCCGTTTTACCCCGGCTAACTACCACTTCGTCTCTTCTCACCCCAGCCATTTTTGCCTCGGCAGCCTACTTGGCAAACTAGATTGCCACTTATTCGCACTACTATTGTTTTCTTTTGAGCCCTTCTTTCAAGATGTATGCACTCGCAGTCTCATCTCTCGCCCGCTAGACGGCGACGCTGCACCTCGCCCAGAGCGCTGTTGCCGCTCAGAAACGCAACGATGCCCACAATCACAATAGCAGGGAGCGTCTGGAACAGGTTCCAGGTGCTGTAGTACAGGAAGAAGACGCCCTCCATCGCCACAATGGAGCCGTAGAAGACGGCGTGCGAAACGGGAGCCGCGCCGAGGGCCTTGCTGGCGTGACTCAGGTTGGCACCGAGAGCAAGCCACTACCGCGACAGGCTTTTCGTTAGCAGAGGACTCACAAGGGCCGCGTTCTAGTTCGAGGTTTCACTCACGCTGATGAACAAGACCGGGATGGCGGCCAGGACGGCGCCCGCAAACACGAGCGAGATAACCTTGGGCGGGTTCTTGGGATCGGCACGGAAAATATGGTGAATCTCGGGCCGCTTGCCGTATCGCAGAGGCGCCTCGTAGGTGTTGACGTGGCTGGGGTCGCGCACGACGTTAATGTCAAACACAGATGCCACAATCGCCTTGGAGGAGCCAAAGGAACCCAGCACAATCTTGGCTTCTAGAGGCGTAGCTGAGTTGAGGAGCTGAATGGGGAGGTCCTTTTGCGTCTGTGACTGGTCAGCATACAACTCAATAGAGTGCCCTTTTCCCGCCTCGTCGCGGCTTTCATCGTAGACGTGTTATCCCATACCAGCTTCACAGTGCCCTTGCCCGACTCCTTAATCGTCAGGGGAAATGGAGCCTCGAGCCCAGAAGCTGTCTCTCGGAGGACGAGAAACGCCTGGTGCGGGCGCTTGGCCTTGCCTGCCTCCTCGGCGGTCAGAGAAAGCTTCAGCGTGCTGACGTGGCCTAATGCGACTTCGGTCTTGGCTTTGGCCGCAGACGTGAATCTATATCGAACAAGAACAGAATTAGCCCTCGTTTTTGATGCCAATTGATGGACCAACAGGCGCGCCGCTCTTGGAGGTGATTGGTAATGCGTCAACAGTCTCTGCGTACTTCTCAGTGATTCCCTCTCCGCCCTTGGCGGCGACAGTCACGGAACCATCCACGAAGCCCCATTGCGCGGCGGCAGAGGCGGCGCTAGAAAGCGCCAGTAGCGTTGTGGCGAGCGAAAAGCGCATCGTGCAATGTTTATGTGTGTGGATGTCGTTTGCGGTCGTTTGCGCTGGGTTCCGATCGTGGTTTCGTCAAAAAGAGGCCACACAGCTCCAACGGCCAGGGGAGCTCTCCAAACTGGTTACGTGGTTGCAGTTGGCTGGACCTGATTGGCTAAACGCCCCACCAGCCAGGCACCATGCTGTTGTGAGGGATTGCTGGATAATCTGTCCAAGATGGCCAGAATTGGTGAGCACAAGCATGTTTAATTCTCATTCAATTATTCTCCTTCTTCCTTTAATACGCTTCATTTTAAACTTTACATGTGAAATGCAACATTGTATTTAAATCCGCTATAAAACGCCAGCAAAATGCAGCAGCACCTGTAATACTTGACAGTCACATATCTATATCCCAGAGAAGAAATGAGAAAATCGTAAACCTCACAAATCCGTGCGCTCCGTCGCCGGCACCGTCTCCGTCCTTGACCTCTTCTCCCTTGCCGACGCCAGCTGCGGCAACTTGCCCGTCAGGTCCAGCCACTCGGCCGCAAACGCCGTCACAATCTTGGCCCAGTCCCTCGTCGTCGGCATGTGGAGGTGCTCGCCGTCGTCGTGCATCGTGTGCCAGACTTGCGGAAACGGCGACGGAATCAAATGCAAAATATCCACGCCGCGCTGCATAAACGGCACATGGTCGTCCTGCACGGCGCCCATGTGGCGGAATTGCTCGACCGACTTGTCGGCGTCGGGCAGGAACGGGCGGCGCGCCTTGGCCTCGAGCAGGCCGAGGTCGCGGAGACGCGTCTCTAATAGCGCCATCTTGCGGTACGCCCAGTGCGTCGTGGCAAAGTACGAGGGGATCGAGGGCGATTCGGCGCCGAGCAGGTCGAGCAGCACAAAGAGGCTGATGGAGCTCAGCGACGTGCGGTACGTCGACATGCCGCCGCCGGAAAAGTCGCGCTCCCAGTCGGCGGCGAGCGCGCGCGCGCCGTACAGCGAGTCCTCGTCGGTCCACTGCTCAAACGCCTCCTCGCCGTCGAGGAACAGAATCTGCAGCCCCGTCGCCGGCTCCAGCGACGTGTCCGCCTCGCCGGCCTCCTCCATGGCCTTCCAGCGCGCCTCGAGCGCCGCGTCGAGGCTGCGCGCCGCGTGCAGGAGCATGGCGCACGGCGCCGCGCTATCCGTCGCCCCGATGAACCCGTGCGGCGTCAGCTTGCTGTCATAGTGCGCCACGAGCGTCAGCCGCCCGACGTCGCCGGCCCTGGCCCAAGGCGGATCGCGCCGCAGGATGAGGTTGTTAAACGGCACGTCGCGGTCGCCTGTCGCCGGCGTCTTGGACGTCGAATTGTGCCAGATGCGCTCCCATCCGGGTAGATTGGTCTGAAAAAAGTCGACGAGGTGCGCCTGCGCTGCTGCCTGGCCCGGCGTGCCGGGGACGCGCGGGATCAGGATCGGCGCCAGCAGCTTGCCGTTGTCAATGTCAAAGTCGTCGCCCGGCGAGGGAATGTTGCGCAGGTCATCGTCGGTGAGCGGAGTCCCAGCAATGGCGCTCGCAAAGGATGACAGCGTCCCAAAGGTCCAGAGAAGAGCTCCAGATGCGCGCATTGTCTGTCTTTGTGGCTAGCTAGCGTTTGATGCTTCGATTTGGGGTTCGAGTCCGAGCCTAATGGCCGCGCATCATATGGTTTCGAAGTCGTCTTTGAAATTGCGTCAGTGATGGGTCTTTTCAAAGATATGGCCAGCCCGATCTTCCTGTCAAGTATAGAATAGTTCTGACTATAAGACTGGTAGATGCAAGGGGAACAAGTCGTGTCGGTTATCCTCTTGTGCTAGCTGAGGTAACACCTGGCTGCTTGGCCTTTTATGCATTGTGGATCTGCCACCCGCTGGCCTGTCTTGCGTCTCATCTCTACTTTTACGTAGCACGGTAGCTACCATACATACACCTGAGAACACACTTGCTTGAATTTTCTTGAATGCTTCTTCCAATGTCTGATTTCATAGCAGCGCTCAGTGCACCGACTTTAATTATAATAAAGCATCAGTATATGTTCTATGTATACAACGGCAAAATCGTTGTCAAGAATCCCATGCGCCGGAAAAATGCAACGCTCTAGGGCCGCCTAATCCCTGGGACACGTATCACAACAACGCCACCAAAAGTGACGTCGTATAACAATGCGTTGCAGTGTCCTGTAGGAGACTCGCAAGTCCAGTGCCTGCGGGAATCCATGTTGAATGCTAGACAAATCGCCCGTGAGACTTAGTATAAAGGAATGATCTGACTTTGATCTTTTTTTTTTTGTCAGCGAGGACTTTAGTGCAGCTTAGCTGCATCGTGCGCGCGCTTGTTGGCAATCTGCTTGTCCTTGGGAATGGTGAGCGCGTTAATTCCGAGGAAGTTGCAAATAGCATTGACGACGATAAAAGCCCAACGAAAGTACAGAACAGTGGCAAAGACAAAGTAGGCCCAGAGGTAGTAGGCCTCCAGAGTAGCACTGAGCTGAGGGAACCCGATTCGAGGCAGGTTGGCGAGAACGGCACCACCAACCAGAGGCCAAAGCATGGCAGTCCAGTAAGGAAAGGGCTGGCGCGTCAAGTGGGCCAGAATCATCTTAGTAGTCAGGCGGCCAAAGACAAACGACATGGTGCAGCAGAACAAGATCAGATGATTCTCTTTCATGAGGGTGCTGTAGGGGGAGCCGAGCCAAGCGACAATAGTGACGGAAAAGACCGTCATTGGCGCAAGTTCGAGAAAGACGGGGGCAATAGGCAGTCCCTGCTTGCGGCGAGCACCAATGACGTTGAAGACGCAAAAGGGAACATGCGTGCCCAACAGCGACATGCCGACGAGAGGAACCCAGATGTCGCGAACCGACGTCTCGCCAAGCATGTCGGCAAGACCAGGCAGAATGTCGCTGAAAATGCCAGCCATAGGCTGGCTCCAAATCTCAGGGCCCCAAATACCAGAGGCGATCATGATGCCGCAAGCGATGAGCAAGCCCTCTGTAGGACCATTGATGTATCCGAGAAAGAGGGTGTGGGTGTGGTATGTTTCCCAAGTCGAGAAGAACATGGCGACACAAGGGCAGAGCGCAGTGAAGACGCCTGCGGGCGAGGTGCCGAGACCCATAGCGGCGACCTGGAAGAGACTGGCAAGAGTGCAATTGAGCGAGTCGATACCGTGGTCAAATAGTTCGCCGAGACCACTCGAGGTGCCGGTTCTGCGAGCTTGTTTGCCGTCGACGTTGTCCATTGTCTGGTACATGAAGAGGCCCAAGGCGAGACTAAAGTATACCCAAGAAGGGCCCTCGAAGTATGTCAGAGATGAGTTTGAGAATGAAGGAAGTCGTGACTATACTAACAGGGCCGATTAGGTCAGGGATATAGACAACGAGCAACGCTACATTGGCCAAGATGAAGAAGAACCCGACGAGGGTCACCATGTTGGGAGCCATCCATAGCGGCAAAAGGGTGACGAAAAAGTTCCACTATAGCGACAGCGTGTTAGTAGTTGGTTTTGATCTGGCCTGAGTTGTATTATGTAGTATATTGCGAAGCAAGGTGCTGCGTGGAGGAGCGAATCGAGCGGAAGGAAGGTTGAGAATGGTATAGGAACGTAGTCGAGGGGCGAAAGACGGTGGGCAGCCGAGGGGCGGGAAATCGTACCCAAGGACCGAGAATGTATTTGGACACCGGCGACTTGTCGACGCTTGAGTACTTGTAGGACTTGAGATGAATGAGGGCATCGTCCGAAATGCATTCGATTTGCGCTTTTCCTGGGAGGCAGTCAGCGGTGCGTCCGGCGTGCGCCGCGGTAGGGAGGCAGGCCGGGAATGGCGAGACAACAGCTCCAAGCTCCGGCCAGAAACCGGCGGGTAAAAACGAGTAGACAGATGCCGTGTTGAATCGGAGGTAAATGGGGGAAAGCAAAGGGAGCAAAGGGGAGGCATACTGGTGTTGGGAGCCATGTTTTCTTGGCCTTGGCCAGCAGTGGTATCGTGAAACAAGGGCAGTGATTCGTTAGCCGACATGATGGATTAGCTGTGGGAGGGCGAAGCGGGGGGCCGAGTGGGTGAGGAGAGGATATAAAAGAATCTGCGAGGTGCGAGAGTGCGTGCGTGCGTGCGTGCCACTTGACTGCAAGGGCGGGAAAAAGAGCGGGTGCGAGGCGCTGTAGGCCGTGGGTTCGTTGGGCAGGACTGGTTTGCAGAAAAGTCGAGGAGCCCTGCAGATTGTTGAGGAAACCAACATGCGCAAGGACGGCGAATCTGTTTACTCCGCAAGATTTAGCGGGTGCTTCAGGCCCATGCAGACGGACGCTAAGGCTTGTTTGGTTTAGATAAGATTTAAGAATACATAAAAGCAGGTTATTTACGCTGACGTCTTTGGTACGTGCCCGTCTGCCATCCGCCAATCTGTCCACCCATATAACCGTGGATTTGGGGGTTATCATCGGGCACTTTGACTTTGGGCAGACTGCCAACTCCCATCCTCGAGAATGACGCTGTAAAAACTGCAAGGGTACCTATACCTGGATACCTCTTACAGATTGTGGCTTTGGCTGGTGCAAAGAGTCCCGTCCAGCCACGAATGTTTAGCAGCTGATGACGCGCTACCTCTGGCTTCCTGCGGTGTAACTCGGGCGCTACAACGCCACTGAAGCAGGCACGTGAAGCTGGCAACGGCCAGCAGACACGACCAAAGAAGCACGACCAGTGGGCATTGATTCATTGCAGTTTCGAGGTTCGTCTTTGGACTTGATATTCTATTCGTTTCGTTGAAATCTCATCTGTCGTTTGGATCATTTTTACGCATCGCGGTATCGTTTCCTCAAATAATTGTTGCCAACAGATTTCAGCCACCGAAACAGACCACACCCAGGAACCGAGGAACAGCGCACGACAGTGGAGCATGCGTGCTGAATAGGTATACCGACTTACCGCATGTTGCAGCAACTTTAGCGCATGTCAATCATCAGCTCACAACCAGCAATGAAAGAGGTACCTGTCTACCTGGCATGTAGCCGGGTAATGCCTCGAATCGTTAATGAGAGAAACTGTCGTAGCGAGAGACCATGTGCGGCAAGAAGCACACAAGGTAGAAGTGGGAAACCAATCTCACCAACTTGGCGATATCCAACTCGAAGCCTCCTGGGTGCTCTGTCGCAGCAAACATGGTCCCCAATTCCACGCCCCTCCATGACCCCTCCTTATTAATAAGGGCTTTCTGCCGACACTGCAACTGCAACTGCACAACACCGAGACCAGCGGCCTCCATCCTAGCCATTCCATCTGTTCATTACTTACCCACGATATGCGCTCCCCACGCTCGCCCAAGCTCAGACTCGACCCCAACAAACCTTTTTTCCCCGCCGCCAAAATCATATTCCCCGCCCGCTTAACACGCAAGCACATCACATCTCTTCTCCTTCCCCCTCCCCCTCCCCGCCTTCAGGAACCGAACAATGTCGTGTGGATCAACGCCACTGCAGTCAGCGCCAACTCGATGCTGTCGCAAATTTATTGACTCACGGCTGCGTGGCGTGGCCCGGTGGACGTAGGTAACATCGCGCTGAAGAAATGTCACTGATGCAGGCTGGCGTCCTCCACCCATTCTTCAGCCGATGCCAGCCAGCCTTGCATTGACGAATAACTGGCCATCTGTCGATTTTAAGCTAATGAGCCGGTAATATGGGATGAGCATCTCCTGTCTGTATCAACAGTATTAGCCAGGAAGGGCGCGCCGTACTCTGCTGTCCACGTTTCTTTGCCCGCGAGGTCGGTATCGCCCACTATGTCTACCTTGCCGTCACGATTAGAATCCTCCAGGATGGTTACTTTAAATTGTCGATGGTTGCAGGAGCAGGGCCGTCTGATTTAGAGCAGCTAGGGGAATGTTATCTGTACTGCCTCCTGCATCCTGAAGATTATAAGGCGGCCCGTCGTCTTTGGGATTGAGATTTTAAGGTGGCCTGTCCCATTTAGGGTCAGGAGTCTCTGCACGCTTGCCAGGCGTACCTCGAGAAATTGTGCCAGTGAGGGTCAACGTAGATGGAAGATGGGCGAGACGCATATTTAAAAGGTGGAAACAAAAGGGGGAACAGAAAGGGGGATTCAATGAGCGATTAAGTTGGGAGTGCTCAAATCTGTGATGAAGTGCCGGTCTAAGGGGGTGTAAGGCTTTAATATATTTATATATATTTTTTCCCGTCAATCAATCTCCTCAGGTGACTTTTCCCAGTACCATGTCTTACAAGTTTCGCTATGATTAGCCCTTAGTTCTTACTCCACATATATCTTCCGGGCCCTTCGCGAATTAGATGTACACGTGCCACGCACCCACCTCTCCAAGGAGATATTTATGACTAGCCTGGAACATAAACCTTAAAGTGCATATAACTGACTCATACTCGTCGTTCTCCTTGGTAAAGGCATGGGGTCTGTGACTATCCTTCCAGGTGCGAGGTCTCCTCAATCGCTAGAAATTCTTTTATAAGCTAGCTATGGTAATTACACAAAAGGCAAATATAGTGCTAAAACCATGATGTCTCACTCAGTTTACGATAGATAGAGGTTGATTTAAGGTTGATAAATCATGGGGAGTATATTAAAGTAAATATAAAAATGGGTCCTATATAAGTTATATTAATACAGTCCTCAATACTGAATTCGGTCTATGTATAGTCTATAGTCCTTGTAATATCTAGTATATATGTACTTAGCCGCTGTATTATGCAAAATCCTAGCAGATCACCGGCCTCGCCGCATCTACTAGACATCACATGCGGTTTCATCTTCATTTGCTACCAAACAAATAGGCCTAGAATTCATGTATGACTCGTAGGGCCTTGCAACTGCCGCGTAATATCAACGATGGCATTGCTTTAACCATGCCCCCGAACGTACGATGGTTAACACGTTAGCATGACCAGACAATCGCATAAACTCAATCGATGTCATAATGTGCCCTAATGCGTAGTGAGGAAACGGTCCCTTTTTAGGACCTAGACAGCTTGAGTCAGAGCTCCCTTTAGAACCTCTTACTCTCTTTGTGATTCCTCGCTTTATCCAAGTCGTACTAGATCTTACTCGTGCTCTCAGAGCGTCACATGCGTCCCAAGTTTCATCTTAAGTATCTTGCCTGATGAGCCGCAATGTCATGCCTCGGAGAATGATGGAATGCATGAAACCTATCTGACGATATAAGTGGGTATAATTGTTACCTTAAAAATACTGCGCCACCCCTTGCACGTTAGAGGTGTGGGTGCAAGAGGTAGAATCATCTGTAGGGCTGAGTCAAGTAGGACCGACATGGTTATCTCCTTAGTAATAGAGACACAGGGTCACGCAAGTCCAGCTTTCGAACCACGCCACTGGCCTCCGTGAACTTGTAGTTTGAGAGGCCTTAATTCAAAGCCGAGGTAATATAATAATAATAATAATTCAAAGCCGACATGTTGCCACCTGCAGCCTCGTTTTCCGAGCGAGCAAGTCATGTGTTGGCCGGCAAGGAGATGAGTGCCCAAACACACTTCTTCTGCTGTTCCTTCTGCTGTTACGCATGTCGGCATCCTCCCCGAGAAATGTCTCCCGCCGGATTATGAATACGAATCTCGTGAGGAGCTATTGACAGCGATAAACACCTGGGCTGCAACAAGAGGCTTCGCGTTCATTGCGCGGAAATCTACTACTAAATCGAGTGGGAGGAGAATCGTAACATACGCATGCGATAAGTCCTGGAAGCCCAAGGCCCCGACAGGTGAGGGATTAAAAAGGAAAAATAATTGTTCGTGGGACTAGTTGCCTATTTTCGATTCTGGCCAAGGAATCACTAGATCATGTTGAACACGAAATAACATCACGTGCAGGGTCCAGTCTGCGCCTTCCATAAAGTGTTCCATAAATAGCGTGCCTTGGCGGCATCTCTAGCTTAGAGAATCAAGGCACTCCTTTCATGTGTGCTCCGCTGTGACGTTCATCAGATAAAACGCGCTGGGGTCTGCAACACCGGCCCGATGATCTACACTCGGAGCATAAACATGCTCCCAGTCATCGTCTGTCAGACCACCTTCGGACGCTGTCAGTCCACCCTCGGACGCTGTCAGACGGTCTGTCTGTTAGCCACACTGCCTACCCCTCCCCTAAACCAAGGTTCACACTGTTTCCCATTCGAGACACCGCCAACTCTTTCCCAAATTCACAATGTGGCTAGTAGATTAAAGAGAGACTGTACTTTAACAAGACAAAGGTCTGAATCTAGGTCTACAGTGGTTTCAAAAGACTCGTAACTAGGAGGCTTCTAGGAGGCCAGGGAGAGCATAGGTATACGATTCCGAGTATGGTAGACAGTGGCTTAGCACCAGCTAATGCTGCTGCGAGTTCTACGAGTGTGTTTCAAGTAAGTAGGTTACGGCACGAGTCAATGCTACTTAGCATGAATCATAATGTTCTAGGTTATTCAGCTAGTTATACACTAATGTCTAAACGAGTCCGTATTATACTTTCTAATACATCTTATTCTATTAGAACTTTTATAAATATATATAAGCAGCCTACAAGCCGCAATCTATACTGCACTACTCGCAACATCTTATCCAACAATCTATATTTTCCAAGTCTTTAAATACTTACTTACTATTTGCACCCAACCATCATCATGAAGCTGTCAGCTACTTCGATTATTGTTACTTTTGCTACTCTTTCCGGAGTACTGGCGCAAACTCCAGACATGCCCCCTGTAAGTAATGCCAATTAACACTAATAATAATCCTCTTCATAGCGCAGTAAACTAACAAGCTACATAGGTAGACCAATCTGCGAACCCGGGAAAAACAACCCGAGTTTATGCTACTAAATGCGAAAGTATTAGCCCTTACGGAGTAAGAGCCTCTTATTTATTGTAAGGATATAACTTCTAGGTGGCTAATATCATTACACAGGAGGGCTATCACGTACGCTGTGATTATGACGCTGTAAGTAAGTATCCTACAAAAAACAGAATGCTTTCTAATAGGCCAATAGGAGAATCAAAACATCGTAAGAGCTACTATAAGTAATTCGGAAATCTTACACCATGCAGACTTCTAACAAGATGTTCTTTTATAGTCAGAGGACGAGGCCAAAGCATCAGGCGCGAAATGGTTAGTATCATCGCGGGCGAAATAACTAGCCAGAGTGCATTACTAAACTAACTGATAATAGGAAGGTTCTTATGACGAAGCTGTAAGCGCGCAACATTCCGTCCGCAGGTGAGGTGTCATAAATACGATTGTATGGGATTGCTCAGGCAAAACAAGAGACTCCGTCCGCAGGTGAGGTGTCATAAATACGATTGTATAGGATAGCTCAGGCAAAACAAGAGGACTTTTTTTTTTTTCCATCTAAAAGAACGCAACATTACCAAGTAACGTAGCGTGTACATCCAACTTGAGCTTGTTCGCTAAAATTTCGCTGCTAAAAAAAAACCGATCGGGTCCCGGCTTAATAAAATGCTTCAAGATAAACCTGACATGCGTCTCTAAAGCATCCTGGATCCTGGCAGTAAGTCACCTTCCAGACACAGCTTACGCCTCGCGATTGGTTCCCTCCATCGTCCACTCTACCGCGCATCATTGCTTGGCAAACACTCAAGGATATCCACCGCCATACCTGTTTTGATCGTGGCAATAGCACAAAGTGTATGACGGTGAGCATGCCGGTTCGTAATTTGAGGGCAATCATCATCCTCAGCTGCCGCACAGTTGCAAGTCCAAATGCAGCACACCAACCTCACGGGCAAGTGTCATGTCGGCATTTTCCTTTTTTTTCCCGTTTCGCTCACAACACATAAAGCAACTGGAGCTCCGACCCGGGTCTCTCGCTGGTGAATGGCATTATTAGTATTATTAGAAGTCGCTCGCCTTGTATATGTCCTTGGATACCACCGCTCAGAAGAAAAAAAAAAGTATTATTAATTGACGCAGTCGACGCGACAAACCCCTCCACATGACCCAACCTTTTCCCTTGCAGCGCCATCTCAGTCGCTTTTCGCCTCCTTCCTCACAGCATCGCAAATCCGGCAAACATGCCGACAAACACAAGGGCAAATCCATACGAGCGTCCGGTTTCCAGGGCCGAACCCGCGCCCGTCTTTTTCGAGCCGCTACCGCCGTTGGCCGAGCCGGGAGGGCCCGTGTAGATGCCACCGCTGCCAGACTTGGTGGCCGACGCTTCCGAGGACGGCGTCGCTGAGGCGTTGTTGCGCTGCGGGTTCGTCGCGCCGCATGGGTGCTTCTGAAGGCAGTCGGATGCGCACGTATTGTCCTTGCATGCGGCGACGCACTGGCGACCCCATTCGGTGCAGACGTAGTAGGGTATGCTCAGGCTGTACTCTGACACGTTGGGCTGCTTGTTGTCGCCGCAGAGGCAGCCGTAGGTCAGTTTTTCCTAACTCGGGTTAGTGGTCGACTCATGGCCTTGAAGGGGGTCAAGCTTCCGGAGTTCATCGACGCCTGACGTACAGGATCACAGTCGTTGATAAGAGTGGTGCGCGGCTCGGTTTGCTGGCAGATCATGGGACAAGTGAGCTTCTCGTCTCGGCACCATCGCTCTAGCAGCAGCAGTCAGTCAGCAATGGCCGTTGGCGTTACTGGAATTTCTGGCTACTTGCCTCTGGTGGCATAGGGCACCGTGGTCGGATCAATATAGTAATCGGCCTGAACGAAGGCTGCCAGAGCCGCAACGCCTACGAACCCCGTCGTCTTGAATGAAACCATGACTAGCTTTCGAAGTTTGGCGAGGTTGTATGTCGTGTCAAGGTACTTTTTCGAAAGTACTAGGACCGAGTCAATGACCTAGAGGCGAATCAGCAATCGACGTTGATTCACCACGTCCATCCAGGCGGCAGCATAGCCCAGGTACATGGCAGTTTCAAGGTCTCCAAATGCTGAATTACCGAAAGAGGAAAATTCCAAGGCTGTGGCCGTCAGATGTTGATGGATAGTGAGCGTCACTGGTCGGAAGATGACACACGAAAAATGAGAATTGAAAACAAGTCGTCAACGAAGGGGACGATGCTCGAAGATAGAAGGTGATGAGGAGCGAAGGGCAAGAGGAAAATCTCTCAAAAAGGGCGATGCCTGGACAAAACGCACAGCCAGCCAAAGCAAAAATGTTTTGAGACTTGAACTGCCGCAGGAGAGACAGCCAGATTATAACCAGCCCGTCCGCCCACCACCGGAGCACAGGGCCGGGCTCCTTGTGCGCGGGCTAACTTTTCCAGCCCATGTCGAATCACCAGGGTCGTCATTTGTTGGCCGTGGCGGCCGGTAGACGGCTAGGGCGGCGGCGAAAAAGACGAGATTCAGCCGTATTAATGGGGAGGTGGCGTGCGCGCGCCGGCTCCCGCCACTACGTACGACTTATTACTGAGTACGATGTGCAGTAATACGACCTATCAGGCCGTATTTCCAGACGGGAATGGGGATGGAGAAAAAAAGAGGCCCAAACGGCGTTTGCAATAGCGTTCATTTTGTTATTAGACTACGGAGTAATAACGTATTAACGTCAGGTAGGTTATCTTAGCCCCCCGCTCAAAAGGTCAAGGATCCTGGATCATGGCCTGGCACAAGCAAGCAAGCAAATCAGCCATATCCACAGCGCCGCAAGCTGCTGGTTGCTTTTTTTTTACTCGGAGGCGCCACTAGATGAGAGCTCATTTTATATTCCTGGAACAGACCATCGCGAGTGCACAAGCACAAGCCTGATTACGTTGTCGCTTCCACAAACTGGATAAAGAATAATCTGGCTCTACAAGTCCCCCGTCGTCGCAATCGTATCTTGTGTGCGTATTTCCCGGTTTCCCAGTGCTGTAAGCAGGCCGGCGACCTACTACGTGGATGTCTGTGGTCAAACAAAATATTGAGATATCAAGGGGCAAAAAATGCTGTCCAGGGGCTGCTGACGCCTACCTAGCTTGGGAAACCAGCAGGGATGCCCTCGCCTCCATGCAACAGTGTAACAGTGACATCTACTGGTCACTGGTCACTGGTCAACCGTGGCGGCGCCCGCCATTTTTCACCAAACAAAATGTCTTTGCATAAAAGCAGCATCACGACGAACTTGTTTGATACGAAGTGGCGAAAATAGCTGCACACACATATTTACTTTGTACACACAAAGTCGGAGAGGAAGTAAAGGCGGCGCCAATTGGAATCTGCCATCTCAATACGAAGCAAAAGGATCATGTTAAGTCTAGGCATCTTGGCAAAAGACTGACGACGGAATATGCATGACAGGCCCGATTTGTGCTTTGATAGTGCTGGTTGACGTGCATGCTCCGCCAAGCATCTCACTGCAGAATGTTGTCGCTGCATTTGCAGAAATACGGGAGAGAGGGCTCCTTGGGCTCGTCACAGGTCGGTCGTCTGACTGGGGTGGACATTGGATCGTTGCCGAAGACGGAATGTCGTTTATTAAGAAAGCGACATGTTTTATTTTCAGCATTTCTGTTTTATAGTTATGGCGGGCAGCCTTGTCGCTGTTGTGTGGGCGCACAATCTGCACAGCGCAACATGGCGAAATACCGAAATACACATATCATGGAGGCCATTTTAGGGTCTCAATTATGCTTGGTGTATGCATGTATTGATAGAATGTATTGATAGAATATGATGGGGTAAATAGTACCGTACTCTACACAGCCCCCGCCACTTGAGCGCTTTCCAGCTCATCAGACATGTTTTACGGCATATTGCGTGTTTAAACATATTTGAACCCCCAACTTTTGGTGCCTCACCGTCCGCCACAGCGCCATCTACTCCATACAAAAAGGGCGGCGACTTAACTAGCGCAAAATCCATACTAAAAAAAGCCCCCTTTCGACAGAATGCTTTTTACTTTTGGTATCCTTACTTGACAGTCAGTTTATGTGCTTCATCATGTATTTACATGATCGGCTGGCGAGAGCCCATCGTGTGCTAAACAAGAGACGCTATTCTAAACACCCAGTCTCCGGCTAGAGCAAATGCCATCCCTGATTTTCGGCTAGGTGCCACGAGCGCCCGCATAGAAATGCTATGATATCTGAACAAAACCTCACCAAATCCCAAATATACCGGACATGGTGCTATATGCCGAGTACCAGACAGCTCCGCGCCGGCCCCACACCTGTAAATCTGGGGAGTAGCGCCGGGTTTTTGGGTTTCCACCAGCGATACTTTTTCTTCTCTTCGCGTGGCGTGACATGACAACATAACGGTTTTTTTTTTTTTTTTTTTCCTTCTTCTTCTTTTGGAGGTGGGAAATTCGAATTGCGCACATCACCTCACATATCACATATTCGCAACTACTTCGGCTCTCGTCCACGCACGCTGTCGCAACATCGCCGTCATCTGATACAGACCCTCTCTCCCAGACGCCTTGCGACGAGCTCCCTCCCCCCTCCCCCCCCCTTTCGCGCCTTGAACCGACCGACCGATCGCTCGCTCGCCACCCGCCCATTCTTCGCCGCTCGTCCCGTGTGCTTTCCCCCCGAAATCGATTGAATTGCGCCCGTGCGCTGCTGCAGCGCAAACAGTACCCTGGATGGAAGCGACTCTCAATCGCGGTCAGGCTGCGGAGCACGGAGGCGCTGCTGCTGCTGCTGTGCAGACGGCGGGCTCAGGCGACGACACCAAGACACATGGCGCGCATGACGGTAGTAGCGGCAACGGCGCGCCGAGCAACGGAGGGCTGCAATGCAGCAGCCCCGACGGCCCAGAACAACACGAGACGGCGACAACGGCGGCGGAATCACCGACGCGATCCTCGCCGGCGATGACGATGCCGCCGTACTGGCAGAACATGCCGTCGCGCACGGCGCGCGGGCGCGCCGCCTCGGTGCAGTCCTCTGACTCCTCGGGTCGGCCGACGGGCGCCATCTTGCTGCTCGACCACGAGGCCGACGACGACGCGCAGGACCGCAACAATGCCTGCTGGGCCAAGAGCGTCGAGATTGTCGACTACACGGTCGTCAACGGCGGCGCGACGAGCATTGGGGCCTTTGTCGTGTGGAACGTGCGGGTCGAGACTCTGCAGGTATTTTTTTTTCCTTTTCTTTTTTTTTTTAAATTTTTTTTTCTTTTTTTACACAGAAACGCCGCAGCGCAACAACACGGCTTATGTGTATTGTGTGTGTGCCTTATCGTGTGTCGATGCTAACCGAAATCGTGTCTCAAATTATTAGGGAAGCTACATGAATGTTCGGAAGCGTTATTCGGAATTTGATACGTTGCGCTACAGGCTGATGAAGTCGTTTCCAAATTTCGATGCGGCGGTGCCCAGTTTGCCGCCCAAGAGCGTCATTTCAAAATTTCGGCCCAAGTTTTTGGAGAAGCGACGGGCGGGTTTGCAATACTTTCTCAAGTAAGAATTTTGCTTTGATATGCTTTGTTTCATCACGGATGATGTGTGTGCTGACGGCCCGATTATTAGCTGCATCATCTTGAATCCAGAATTCTCGGGTTCGCCAGTCTTGAAGGAATTTTTATTTTCTTAGCGAGATTGCCACAGCACCAACAACTATTAGCGCTGCTGTTTTCTTTTTTTTTTTCTTTTTTTTTTCGACACCTTCACTGTTCATAGCTTTCGTACGACACACAAATGTTACATATTCTTTCTACAATGACCGCTCGGTTCATATGATTGATACACGTGGCATCGGCAAGTGATTCACTGATTCGACACTATTTAACCACGTCAAGACGGTCCGTTGGCCGTGGCTGTGGTCGAGTTCAGCCTTGTGCCCTGCCACGACTTGGCGTACGGCCGCCATGCCAGACTCGGCCCGGACACGACTCATTTGCCCCTCGTTCGACGTCAGTATTCAAGCTTCTTCCATCAAGGCCCCCACCACGATGCCCAACACCAATTTCCGATTTACTTTTTTTTTCTTTTATTAGCGGAGGGCTGTGGTTGTTCGGAAACGCCAGGCCGGCTGTGACGCTCCACTGACAGAGGACGCATGCTGTGGCTCAGCGGTTATTGGGCACACTTCTCTCTGAGCATACCTGCCCTCGAGCCGCGGGATCATGACTCTTTATCCGATAATCCAAACCTGTACTTATAAAATGACCCAATATGTAAATTCATCAGCCCTATCACTAAACATCTCATCGCATGCCACTTCGCGCTACAATTGCAGATCACTTGGCAAAAGTTTCTCTCCAACTCTCCGATCCTGGTCATAGCTCGCACTCCAACTTGAGCTGAGAATCAGCCACCGCACTGCCCGCGCTGACGAGTTGGGCTTTTCTTTTCCGTCGGTGGCTGGACCCTCGTCTTGTCTTTGGCCTTTTGATTTGCTAGGAACCACACCTGCCTCTGCCCTGTCGCTGCCGGAGCCACGGCCCCGCCGTCGGCGGGTTATAGAAACAAAATGGCGGCCTCGGACGCTGCACCTTCATCACTAGCAACGGATCCGATATTATACAACGAATACATGGCGTCGCTTGTGCCTCCAACAAAGGAAAGATTTCACGAGATTGCTCAAATTCAGATGGAAAAGGAAAGCGAAAATCGCAGAAAAATGAAGGAGCAACAGAGGCTGTCGACCGACCCGACACTGCTGCCGGAGGACCAACAAGGCCAAGACGCCGCAGCCAGGGTGATTCAAAAAACATTTCGGGGCTACCGTGCTCGCAGAGAAATGGACGGCTACAGCATCAACCCCAGTACCCGCTGGGTCGCCGCCGTACGCGACGCTCAGTTTCGGGAGACGCACCGTCCAAGACCCCGCGCTCTCTCAGAGGCCGCGAGCGTCGCTGGAGAGGCGCGACCGCCCTCGGCCAGCGCCCGCCATAACTGGAGAAAGGCTGGGATGGTGGCCTTTCGGGCTGGCCGCGATGCTTCAGACAGCGAGTCGGACTCGGATTTGGACAGCCCCGACAGCCCGGACGCGGCTAGCCCGGAAGCCAAGGCCGCCAAAAGACAACAGCGCCAGGTCGAGAATGCGAAGCGCCGAGCCGAGGCTCGAACGATGGGACTGCAGTACTTTTTAGAAATGATTGATGCGAAGCACCGCTACGGAAGCAATCTGCGCATATACCATGAGGAGTGGAAAAGGTCAGACGCGCAGGAAAACTTTCTGTACTGGCTCGACTACGGCGCTGGTCGCAACGTTGAGCTGGACGCCTGCCCGCGTGAGCAGCTGGAGCGCGAGCAAGTGCGGTACTTGTCGCGAGAGGAGAGGCAGTACTATCTGGTCAAGGTCGATGCCGAGGGGAGACTGTGTTGGGCAAAGAATGGTGCTCGCATCGATACGACGGAGCAATTCAAGGACAGCATTCATGGTATTGTTCCGGCTGACGATACGACGCCGGCGTTTAGGCCGTCTGCCAATCCTCTGGCAGGCACCTCGGGTTCGGACTCGGATTCCTCCATCGAGTCGAGGCGGGAGGCTGATCGTGCCAACAAATATGCAACCCCCGAGTTTGACAATGCTTCCGGTGTCCAAAAGATTCACCACCTGTCGACGTCAACCATCATCAACAAGCTGCTGCGCAAGTCTGTCCGCCCAAACTGCTGGATCTTTGTCGCCGACACCAACTTTCGACTCTACGTCGGCATCAAGGACTCTGGCGCCTTTCAGCACTCGTCCTTTCTCCAGGGCGGCCGCATCTCCGCCGCGGGGCTCATCAAGATCAAGAATGGGCGTCTACAGTCGCTGTCTCCTCTGAGCGGGCACTATCGGCCGCCCTCGTCCAACTTTCGGGCTTTTTTGCAGAGCCTCAAGGCGGAGAACGTGGACATGGGCCATTTGACGGTTTCAAAGTCGTATGCGGTGCTGGTCGGGCTGGAGGCGTACGTGAAGACGACCAAAAAGAGCAAGAACTTTGTGAACAAGCTGCTGCGGACAAGGGACAAGGCGGCAGATACAAAGCCTGCGCAAATGGCCATGAAGAAGCTCAGTATCACTCGGGAAAAGTAGCAGAGGTTGGTTATTTGATGAATGAAGGCTGTTCTCGCTGTTTCCATACGCCGGTCAGCCAGCAGCCGGCTGCCTAATACACTACCGGTTAATTGACTGGCTGCTTGTTGACTGGCTGTTAATTCAGACTAGCTACCTGTACCATCTGTGAAAGACCTGCAGCATACCTGCAATGCATCCCCATCGCCTTTGTCAGGAATGCCCCGCTCGGACTGTGACTCTGACACCTCTGAACTTGGTGTTTACTGCATTTTGCGGATAGAAATCCTGGATGTTTGTGCAACCATTGCTCGTGTCCAGTGCCAAATGGGCACATCTCTGCTCGTCTGTAAGACAGGATGAGAAGAGCACAAGCACAAGACTTCTCAAACATGCGAAAATTGACTTCTGACAGTAAAAAAACCCGTGATCTCGCTTTTACACGCAAGGTATGCTGTGGCAGGCATTTTAGGCAACACATCGTTAACACAGGGTAGTGCAAACGAGGGCGAAAAGTTCCACGTTTGAGTCAAGTCGCGTCAGGAAGGTCCGACTATTTATGACTGCCCGAATACAGGCGTGGATCCCTGTAAGCTCACTACAACTTGCGCCTCGAGGCTCTATAAACCTCTAGTGAATGCCCCGTGCGAGCCAACACAAGCCGCTAGCTGACTTTTTGTAGGCGTCAACCTCCCTTATTGCTTGGGCGGATCCGCATCAACCGCTCGCTCACTTCCATGGTTTTACGCCAGGCAGTCCGTGATCTTTTCGACGAGAAGGAAAAAAAAAGGCACATCGCTCCGGCGCAAAAAAAGTCATCAGCCATCTGTCGCGCACGACCTTCGCCAAGTACGATGCCAGGCCGCTGCCATATTGTCCATGGCTTCCGTCACCCGCTCGACCCGACGACCTGAAGTCTTCCCACCTCCTCACCTCAACGGGCACGCTCCCATGGCACGCGCGACGCCGGCCCTCTTCCACCATCCGCCGCCGCAGCAACAGCCGCAGGCAAGTCGCACCAAGCGAGCCATCGAGGCCACTGGTCTCGATTTTGCCACGGTCAATACCAAGAAGACGAGAATCGCCGTAGAGATTGTCGCCAGGCCCTCCGCGGCACCACCACCACCGCAGAAGGTGCAGCCTCCCCTCCCAACACCACCACAACAACCAGTAGCGGTAGCGGCTGCCCCTGCTGCGCTGTGCGCCACGCCGCCCGAAGCAAATCTCGACGTCACGAGGCACAAGGCAAAAGTTATCAATGGCATCAAGCACGAGCTGGATAGGCTCCAGCCCGACATGGCCGGTACAAAGGATCCTGGTCGAGAGCCTGGCCGCAAACTGCGCTCCCAGGAGGCTACGCGCTTCAAAAGCGACCTCTCCGCCTACTTTCCAGACTATGACGAGGTCATTGGCAACGAGCCCAAAGAACAACGTATCTATTGATCCGTGATTGCTTTTCTTTCAATGCCAAGAAAGACATTACTGACAGCTCTTGCAGATTTATTGAACCTCGATACCCCCATCATAATTGTCGACTCGGGCTCTCGACGCCTCCCTCAAGCTGGACTCTCACAACCACAAATGGACATATTTCCTGTCCGAGGTTATGGCGATGCTCTGTATACTGATGTCTTTGATGCGCAACAAATAGATTTTGGGTTTTTGGAGGCACAGTACAAAAACCGGGCGCTAGAGGACCCTCTGCCAGACAGCACCTTTGAACCCATACACCGGCGAGCCGAGAGGGTCGAGAGATCAATACGAAATTCGGAAAAAGGACGCGCACAACACGAAAAGGATCAAATTATACGACTGCTAGAGGGCCTGCAAGGCCACGACTGGCTTAGGGTTATGGGTGTCAGTGGAATCACCGAGACAAAGAAGAAGACGTTTGAACCTGCGCGGGCTCATTTCATCAAAGGCTGCCAAGGCATAATCGACAAGTTTAAGAACTGGAGCTTGGAAGAGAAGCGCCGAAAACAAGAGAGAGAAAGGACGCTAGCCGCCGAGCACGCCCAGGAAGAGCTCAAAGAAGTCCAAGATGGTGACGCAGAAGATGAGGAGATGGACGACGTCAATGACAGCACCCCGACTCACCAAAGTAGAAGTGAAGATGGTCGCGGTATTGATGAAGAAGATGAGGACGCTTTGATGAACTCACAAGACAACAGCAGTGAAGCTTCTTCATCATCGCCAGCAAAACAGCTGCGGCAAGAAGCTATGGCTCGCTCCAAGATGACGGCGAAGCGTCCCCGGTCTGATACGGTAGCCATAACACCGAGACAATCCGAGACACCAAAGGAGTTCAAGTCTTTTTTCAGCAAGAAATATGAACGCGATGGAGCGCTCAATAAGCATCGGCGAGCTGGGAGAAACATTCTAGCTTGGGGGCATCCGATACCGGACATTGCAGAGATGGACTTTGATTTGCCAGAAGATTATCGTGATGATGAGCTTTTAAAGGCCAGAGCACGAAAAAGGCGACGAGACAAGCGGTCAAAACCTTGAATTGCCTCTTGCCATGTTCCTTCACCTCGGATACTTTGGTGCATGGCGTGGCGTATTTTAGCAACACATTGGGCGATATTCTCAGAAAGGCGTTTGGTACGGTACATGGAAATCTTGGGGGTATTCAGGTGGCTTGTGGCGCATCGGATTTTTCTATCTCAGCTGTGGGCAAAGCCAAACATAGATAGGCTGAAGCCAAAATCCTGTAGTGTATAGTGTAAATTAACAAATCCTCTTGACCAGTGACTTTTGTGATTCTGGCGCTTGCTATGTGTTACATGACTGAGCGATATATGCGCCGAGAAGAGGTGTTGTATTTATTTCATGAGATGATTCGGGGCCGTACAAAATGAACAAAAAAAAAGAAAAGAAAAGAAAAGCGAGGGAAATCAGACACAACATATAACCTTCGAGAAGGCGGAATAATAGTTTTGGTTCTGGTGGCGGCCTAATAAGCTTGTTGACTGTGGAGGAGTTAGTTGCGTGTAGAGCCACAGCTGGTCCGTGCGTCAAGCTTCGTGGTGGTCAAACGCGGCTGGCAACATGCCTACTTCATCACCACCACAGATACTTTGCGACAGAAAGCGCAACAACGCGGAGGCAGCCAGGTCCCTGCCCCGCGCGAATTTGCGGAAAAGGAACGAGTCGCCTCTCTTCTAGCCATACATACACTGCCTGTGTACCCCGACCACGGATGGCAATGCCCGCCTAACCTCATGCGCCAACCCCCCAGACGAAGAAGCTGCAGGCACCACTCGCATCGAGGTGGCGCCGCCCAAACACTCCGTCGCACCAGCTCTCCCATACATAAGAAAAGCCTGACCACGAATTGCGACCCTCCAAGCTGTCTCTTGCATCGTTTTTAAACGCCGCGACGATGGAGTCTGCATCCCAGCGCCCGTTCGCGAACGGCTACGACGATTTGCCGCCCATCGACGACCTTCCTGTGATGGAGTATTTTGTCCTCAAGCAAGAGGTCAACCTGGAGGTAGACTTTCGTGACAAGTGCATTCACGGAAGCACGGATGTCTTCCTCGTAACCTTCAACGACAAGGTCGAAGAAGTGTTCCTCGACGCGGCACAATGCGAAATCGACACGAACCGAATCACCATTGCCGAGATGCGTGAAGTCAACGGCGAAGCGATCGAGGGACCTAAGCGACGAGCCGCTGCAGAGTACAATGACCCGTACAAGAAGCTCTCCCAACCCGAGGGTTGGAATTGGAGGGCAGAGCACTACGACCTGCGCCGCATCCGCGCGCGAGGAGTTTTTCACAGCCGAAAATCCGACGTTCCCGCTGAAAATAGAGAATTTGAGGGGTGTACGCCGGCATACGGGTCTTTGAAATTGAAGCTACGTGGCAGGGATGACCGAGATCGCCCGAGATTGATCGTTAGGAAGTCAATGTCGAGTCTCGATGCCCCAGACAAGTCGCATAAGCAGTACAAAATCACCGTCCCATTCGTCAATAGGAACCCTCGCGATGGATTGCATTTCGTGGGAGTGGACTCTCTGGACAATCGCTTCACACACATGTACACTCGTCATTCAATACAGCCAGGCACTGCGAGTTGCATCTTCCCCTGCATCGACGACCACGGCTCACGATGCGATTGGCGCGTCTCTATCAAGCACCCGAGAACACTCGGAGATGCCTTGCAGCAAGCTCTAGCAACGAAGAAGGAATCGGCCTCTCTTGATCAGTCATATAAGCTCGCCGAAGAGGACAAGCTTCGGGAAATGTCCGTGGTATGTTCAGGATTTCTCGTGGAAGAAACCACGGACCCAGACGACGAGTCCAAGAAAATCATGACCTTTGAACCTGAGAAGAAAGTATCTGTTCAGAAACTCGGCTTTGCTGTTGGTCCATTCGAGCACATTGACCTATCTTCTGAATTTCGAACTGAAGAAGACGAAGTCAAGCTTGGTATGAGCGCCTTGAAAGTTCATGCATATTGCTTGCCTGGACGCGGCGACTGGGTAAGACATACCTCGGCCGCGCTCACCATGGCCGCCGATTTTCTCACATACACATTTGCGCGCTATCCGTTTTCCAACTTCAAACTCTGTTTTGTGGACGATTTGGTCGACGATACAGTAGCATTACATTCGCTGGGACTTGCAAGCAACCGCCTGCTATATCCAGAGGATGTCATTGATACTGAAATTGAGGTGACGAGACAGCTTGTTCTCACATTGACGTCACAATGGATTGGCATTAACATGATACCCAATACTCGAAATGACATGTGGCTCGTAGTAGGTATGGCCCACTACATGACAGATCTGTTCATGAAACGCATATGTGGAAACAATGAGTATCGCTTCCGCATGAAGACCATGTCCGACAAGCTTATTGAGCTTGATGTTGGTCGTCCTGCCATCTTTGACCTCGGCGCAAACCTACATCTTGACGACGCAGAAGTCGGTCTAATGACACTCAAAGCACCTCTGGTGTTTTTCATCTTGGACAAGCGCATGAATAAGGCATCTGGCGGCCACGGATTGACCAGAGTACTGCAAAAGCTCTTGACGCGTGCACAGATCGAAGGAAGCGACAAATCGACGATTCTGGACACTGAAAAGTTCAAAACATTATGCGAAAAAGGATCACGATATCGCCTAGAGACATTTTGGAATCAATGGGTCTACGGGTCTGGCTGCCCGAGATTTGACGTCAAGGCCCGATTTAACAAAAAGAGGCTTTGTGTCGAACTGACTCTGAATCAAGTTCAACTTCACAAAGCAAAGAAACCTCAACTTGAGAAGGACGATTTTCTGCGAGAGATCAAAGAACGACGGGCTGAAGTGCCTCGCGGAGAAATACAGCCTCTTTTTACCGGTCCGATGACTGTACGGATTCATGAGGCTGATGGAACGCCGTACGAGCATATCCTTGAAATTCGCGAAGATGCTACCAGAGCCACCAAATTCGAGATTCCTTATAACACGAAATACAAGCGACTCAAGCGGACGCGGCGAATGAAGGAGAAGCACAGCACAGGACAAAGCATGGAAATCGCCGAGAACAATGATGATGCTTTACTATATTGTCTGGGAGACGTGTTGCAAACTCCCGAAGATCAACGCGAGTGGGAACTGATTGACTGGGACCCCGAGACGGAGCGAAAAATGGACCAAGAATCTTATGAATGGATTCGTCTCGATGCCGATTTTGAGTGGGCATCTGACATGTCGCGGACCTTGGAGCCGTACATGTATGTGTCGCAGCTGCAACAAGACAGAGATGTAGTTGCGCAACAAGACGCCATGCTGTACCTCGCGCAAGGCCCGCTTCACCCAATTGCCTCTGGTTTCTTAGTACGAACACTCATCGACCGCCGGTATTTCCACGGAATTCGCACAATGGCAGCAGCTGCTTTGACCCGACAGTCCAACATCAAAGACATTCCACTTCTAGGAATGCGCCAGCTCATGCGGGCCTTCCGGGAAATGTATTGCTATGAACAAACGAACCAGCCTCGTCCGAACGACTTCACCGACAAGAAGCAATACAACGTTCGCTGTGCCATCATCAAGGCCATCGCCGAGGTCCGCGACCACACGAATAAGTGTCCAATGGAGGCCCGCCGCTTCATCCTCGACCAGCTCCGCCTGAACAACAATGAAGGCAACCCATACTCGGATCATTTCTATATTGCTTTCCTTGTCGAATCGCTTGCTACCTCTCTTATTCCGTCGAAGCAGGACGACTGGCTGACACGGCAAAACAAGATCCCTAATGAGGAAGAGAATGCATTCTTGGAAGACGCTCTGGAACAAATCGAGCGAGTGCTCCGCCGTGACGAATGGACCAATTCATACCGAAACACTTGGACAGTCGCCGGACTAGATGCGAAGCAGCGCTTGATGAAGGCGGAAGTGATTCCAAAAAACTTGACAGACTTTGGACAGTACCTCTTGGACGGAACAAGAGATTTGATTCGTATCAAGTGCTTCGAGGCCTTGATTGACCTTGGTGCGATGATGGACCCTACTTTTTTCAGTTTTCTGATGTACTCGTATCAGACAGATCGCTCCCCCTACGTGCGATCAAAGCTGATTGCTGCTGTTGCTCGTGGCTTCGCTGCCATTGCCTTTGGCGAGCATGCAAAGGTTGCTAAGGTCGAACCTTCTGCTGACGACGGCGACGGCCTACTTTTAGTGCAAGATAGTGCTCAAGAGATTGAAGCCAGAAAGGAAATGTTTGCTCGCAAGGAGAATCTGGATTCTGCTCTGAAAGCTCTGAAGAAGGAAATGGAGGAGACATATGTGGCTGATGAGAGACACTACAGCAACGCCATGCGCAAGGCCCTCGACCACCAAGAGCTGGGCCGTATGGAGGTGGAGAGTCTCTTGGACCTTGCCTCGATGATGTTTGAGGAGGCGCAGAGCTGGCTCTTGACTCTCAGTCTGCCCAAGCGCTGGAAGACAGAGCGACCTGCACAGCAACTCGCGAATCGCCTCATCGTCAACTTCAAGTCCTACTACAAGATCAAGCCAAAGGTCCCGCTCTCAGACCCGGCGCCAGCACCAGCAGCAGCGCCAGAACCAACCCCGGCGCCGGCACCGGCACCATCATCCTCATTGTATGGCGGTGATGTCAAAAAGCCACCTCTCATTGGAAGGACGTCGTCCATCAAAATCAGCACCAAGCCGTCTCTTTCTTCCATCCATCGACAATCGCCCAAACCATCTTTTTCTTCCACTCATCGACCTTCACCCAAACCTCCGGTCGTGCTGGATAGCATTGTTGCTCACAGCAAGCCGGCAACAAATGGGTCGTCGACATCCACCCCGCTCCCGGTAATTAAGCGGCCCCGGCCAGAGAAGGAGGAGTATGCGTCGCCCGCACCCAAGCGCCCCAAGACGGAGACGCCTTCGGACGTCAAGGGCCAGTGGAAGAAGAGGCGTATGGTGACCCTCAAGACGTCAAACCCCAGCCGACTTGCCGTCATTCTCGGGAAATCCATGTCTTCTACCCCCACGCCGGCCAGAACGGCCCTCCCGGGAAGTCTGCGCCGCGAATCCTCCAACGAGGATACTCCTCTCAAGAATCGCAAGCCGCTGCCTTCGGGCGGCGTCATCCGACGACCACTGCCGACGGGCAGCGCCGCATCCTCGCCGCACCAGACACCCGCGTCAAAGCCCAAGATTAGCGTCAGCACGTCGTCGGCGCCCGCTCCTCCGAAGGCCACCTCTACACCGAGCGGCGCACTGGGAGGTGTCGGAAGCCCGGCACCGGAGACGCCACTGAGCGCGTCGTCGCGACCTAAGATTAAACTTGTTCGCAAGCCGCAGCCGCAGCCGCAGCGCCCGCCATCGGCATAGGTGGCCTAGTTTTGATGCGGGGCTGGAAGGAGTGGTGGAATCCAGGAGCTTGGAATTAAAAGGGCAAAGTACCAAGGCTGAAGTACGCCAGAAGGGAGGATTGATAACATTATTGTTTGTATCTTTATTAGGCGTTACAGGAAGGGAAACAACTCAAGAATAGGGAATTCATTTTGATCATGGTTTTTTTACTACACGATCGAACTAGCCGATTGATAATTACATGCTCACTTTATTTCGACCCCAGAGGGCTTGTTAGTTGTTCTCGAGTATGTGGAATGCACAATCTGTTCCTCGCTTCCCATCATCATTCAATGCCTTTGGTTGGCTCGTATCAGTGATACCCAAAGTCTGCCGCCTAGCGTTGAGCATCATGGCGTCATGGCTCTGATCATTTCATTGTATCAAAGCTATATGTTGAGGCCGTCATTCTTGATGACGACAAGACGGCGAAACTAACCGCGCACTAGCCCTATTGCGATGGATAGATTGTACATTGTTGAAAAGAACAGTTTTACTTGCTTGCATTTGGGCACATGTTTGGTTCTATGTCTTCCTGAAAGTGTGCATAAGTTCTCACATAGTTATGAGGCAATGCTTAATTGGCTATTTCCCAATTTTTCCGTCCATGTACGTATTGTAAAAAGCAACCCGGGCCGCCTTCTGTATGGCTATGCTATCGGTCAATAGGAGATTGGATGTACCAAAAAAAATCATAGCAACTTCAAATCGAGAAAGAACAGTCAAGCAGATAAATCTCCGTCTCTCGACAGATAAAACCCGCCCGTTTCCGTATGTGTGTGTATGTGTGTGTATGTGTTTACGTGCTAATGAAGAGGGTATCTCGTGTGTATGGACAACAAAAAGAGAGTACAGTGAATGATAGAATGTGCAATGAGCAAAAGAAGCCGACGATGCATCTAGCAAGCAATGAAAACAAATGAAAAAAAAAATTAGAAAAAACAGTGTAAAGAGAATTTCAGTGACCAATCGACAACCGCGAATTATTGCTGAAAGGAAAAAAAGGGAGCCAAATCCCGTTGGCTGTAGGAAAAAAAAAACAACGCCGTGATCGCATGCAAAAGTCTCCAGTCCAGAATAGATCTTCCCGTTCAATATGTAAAGGATATATGGTGTAGTAAAGCGATGGCGTCGAAAGAATCTGTCGGCATTATCGGGAAGTGGTGGACATGAGCGACAAGGGCAGCGGGAACGGAAGGTCGTGGACGGATGGCTAAAATGAGTGTGGAGTGGCGATGTGTGCTGTGCATGACGACCAGGTCTTGCATGAAAGATCGTGTTTAGATTAGTGGGTAATTGTGGCTCACAATGACTGTTATGAGCCGTCTTCGCCTGGCGGCAGCTGGATCCCACTGTCGCGATCTGGTTGAGCTTTGGGTGGTGACGAAGGCGTCAGCCGTTTGGCAGTCATGTCATGGCCATCAACACCTTGGAAGGATAGATCGTAGTCGTCTTCGTCGACTGGGGCGAGCACGCGGCCTCCAAATTCAACATCAGAAACGCGAACGTGATACTCCAGGGCCTTTTGCCCTTCTCTGATCAAGGTTTCGGTCCAGCTTAGACAGCGCTTAATACTTTGGTTCATCTTTTGGCTATCAATCAGCAGCTCCTGGTGCTTTTCGAGGTCAAGCTGCAGACGTTTCTCATCACGCTTTCGACGCATCACACCGACGGAAATGGCAGACATGGATGCCGTATCAGTCATGGAAGCGTCAGACTCTTCAATGGAGTCTTCAAATTCCCCCTCTTCCTCCTCGGTCTCGTCGATTTCACTAAGATCAGATAGATCCACTGGCGGGTCAGTGAGGGCTTCTGACACCACACGACTATTTGGCGCAGACGTGAGAGACAGTCGACCGGAGCGAGAAAGACGGCGGTAGCGGCGTAATTCAGCAGTCTGTTTGCGAAGTTGTCTTTCCAGTGTTCTGTTGATGGCCTCGAGCGATGCATTAGTGATTTCGAGATCCTGGACTTTGCGTTCTCGGCGAGCGTTGGCGACGAGTTCGCTCACACCATCCGAAAAGTGAGACTTGCTCGGACTTTGCGGTTCTAAAAGTATGTCACCTTCTCCATCAGAGCCCTGTAACTCCTCTGCTGCCTGCAAAAGCGAAGCCATAGTCATAGTTGTCTGCGATATTCCAGGGCTGGCCGGTGGGGACGCGCTGTCGGGAAGATTGGGCGATATGGTTATACTCGGGGCCAACTGCAGCTCTGGGCCGGGGCTATTGTTGGTTCGAGACTGGCGTCGGCGAGATTTGGGCGGCGCGTCGATGCTAACTCGTCTCATTCCACGCTGGACTTCGGCATTGTGGGAGATGGTGGAAGGTGGGCTTGTTTGGGACCTGTTTAGTGACGCGGGCGGTATTGCTGTTCTCATAATAGGATTCAGAGCTGATGTAGACGTTGGATTGTTCTTCAGAGGCGATGCAGGACGCTGAAGCCCACCAACAACGGTGGCAGAGGAACCCAGGGGAGGACGTCCCCCAGGCGGTAAACGAGGGCCTGATGACAAGGTCGAGTTGGGATTGGAGGTAGGAAAGGTTGATTTGGGCTCCATTTCAGGTGTCCCATTGGCGTAGAAGAATTTGGTTGATAAAGCATCTTGAGTATTAAGGCTAGGTGATAGCAGAGGGGCGGATGGTGGCGTGCCAGTCGCTGAGCGATCGACGCTGTTGTTTGGAGCGGCATTGGCGAAGAAGAAGGTAGGACCCTTTTGCACGGTGGACGGTGGTTGACGCTGCTGGCCAGGGGTCTGTATACTCTTTGCATCGCTAGCATAAAAGAATTTGTTGGCATCGTTGGAGTCGGCCGACATGTCAGATGGCTGCAATGACTTCAAGCCAGCATCTGGAGGCGAGGCAAGGCCAATACTGCCAGGGCGCGGACTGTCACGATCCCATTCATCGGCGCGGTTATCCGGATTCGGTGTGGTTGTGGGAGTGCTGTTTGTGCTTTCGACACGGGTCTGCCTATGGCCGGTGCGAGGGGTCACATTTGTAGCGAGAAAGGCAGAGACGGGAGAGGAAAAGTCGTGCGCAACGGTGGTAGCAGTGCCTTGAGGTCTCCTGGCCAGCGCACCGAACGCAGGAATACCTTTGGAAGCGACTTTGGGGGTAAGAGGGGTCACACGGTTCGCGGCGGCTCGGACGACAGAGGGCGGCTGCCTTGATCTGTCTCCAGGCGGCATGGTGAGGCGCGCAGAGGCAGTGCTGTTGTTGAGGCGTGGCGTTACCAAGTGGTCATGGCTACCGCGAGGCCGGTGAGGAAACGCGGCGGCGGCAAGGACGGGATGCAGGGCAGCGGTGGGTGGATATAGATGGAGACTGTGTCGTTGAGTCGGAAACGTGGACGAGGCAGAGGCGACGAGGGTGCGATGAAGAGGCGAGACGCTATGGCGGCGATTTTGAGCGTGGTTGGATGTATCAGTCTCGGAAGTTGACGAGCTACGTTGCAGAGTCGGGGTTGAAGGTGGCAGAGGGGCTTGGCTATTATGGCCGCGACGGTGCGGCGTCAGAGGGAGAGGCGGATGCTGGCGTCGTTCGTTAAGGTTGTGAGTGGCCGGAGCAGGTCGCGCGGAGAGTGAAGAGATGGAAAAGTAAGCTGGCAGGTGCATGAAAACAAAGCGGTCTTTGTTGCGAGCTAAAACCAAACAAATGACGGTACGCGACGAAGTTGGTATGGTGTTGGAGCCGAAAGGTGTGCACACCATTTCAGAGTTGGCGCGAAGCCAAGTGAGTGACCCGAGACAAGCGGGCATTTTGCTGTGACACGAGGTACCTTGGGAATTACAGCATCTGAATAGGGGGGGTTTTACTGAGGGGCTGCCCTTTTACTTCGCAGGTACGCGGTGACTCCACTGGAACCTCTGGGGACTACAGGGGCTGTAGGGGATGCATCATGTGCCGGCCAAAACTTCAGTAATTAAATAGTATGTGATATTCTTGCCTTTAGTTTACTATAGCATGGCCTATGCACAATTGATACGGTCGGTCCTAACTAGATTGCGAGATTACAGCCCCATCTTGATTTGCGGCCAGACGTCACCGGGTTTTGAGTGTATGTACCTGGACGACAAAGCTCTCCAACATCAAACGCTCACCCCTGCAGTAGAGGTAGGTATGGTTTGTTTACCTTGGACCTCTTTGCGCTGATCTAATGTTTACTTTCTTTATGCAGCGTTCCCAGGGCAGTAAAGGCACCAATAGTGTTTCCGCCAGGCCCCCACTAACCGTCTCGAGACGAACGCTGGAGAGCCTGCTTTGGTCCCCTTTTTAGTGGTCGCATTGCTGGGAGTGGGATGCTCGCTGAATACAGCAAGCAGCCTTGTCGTCATAATTGCCCTTGATATAGCCTTGATTTACTCATGCATAAATCCTAATTATTGCATGTGCATTGAAGCAATGAAAATCTCCTTGCTACACCATGTGCGATTCCATCTATTAAGCTTGCTTTCTTTGCGTATCACAGCATGTCTTTTTGAAAGCTCGGCCTGCTAAAGCTGTCCCCTCCAACAGCGACCTACGTAGGTAGTCAGTCACCTACAGTGCTACGCGCGGTTGTACACAACCTTGTTCTTGTCTCTCCCAGGCACTATCCATATCAATAGCCCAAGTATAGCTCAGAATCAACCTTTTGTATCTGATCCTGGATGCTAGATCTTGCTGTAAATCGTGCGTCTTATTCCTGTACCAGAATGTAATACCTGTCACCTACCCCGGACATATAATCAGCCACTCTTATGCGCCGCGCAAACGCCCCGCCAGCGCCACACCTGACCGTATCACGCTTCACTGTGCATCCATCGTTGATCATTCATCAGTATCGCCACTTCCTATCCCAATACAACTTCATTTTCCCATTTTTCATCTATTCATCTACAGTAAATATCCGTGTCTGCAAAATATCAATATCTTCATCACCTCCTTCATCTCTTAAACTTCTCATCCTCTGCTTATGCCACAACTTCCACTCTCCCTACCACATGGCCGCTCCAATAAGGCCAACCGATGATGGAACCTTGGATGCCGATATAACGTCACCTGCTGTCGGCCATGTCGGAGCATTTCTCGACGGCTCCCAACGCGATGATGAATTGCAGGGCATCTCCACGACACACCGAAGATGGTCTATGACCCGGCTGATTGACACTTCTGTGCAGGGCACGTTTAGCACTGCTACGCACTTCTTCCAATGGCTTGACACCACTCCTGGCCGTGGTGTCTTGAAGTGCACAATTGCCTACACGCTGGCCAGCATGGCTACCTTTGTACCAATCTTGTCCGATTTTCTCGGTAAACCAAATGGCAAGCATGTCGTTGCCACCATTACTGTCTACTTTCATGCTGCTCGCTCAACTGGCTCCATGATTGAGGCTATCCTCATAGCTATCGTTGCGGTAGCGTATGCTGAGCTCGTGTCTATCCTTTCCATGGCCACATCTGTACTCGTTGGCTCTGTTTTTGGTCTGGCCACGCTAGCTCACATACTGGTTGTTGTCGTCTTCATCGGCGGTGGCTTCGGTATCATGGGCTGGATGAAACAGCGCATGAACAACCCACTCGTCAATGTTGCTAGCACACTCGCTTCGCTCGCCATTATATCAGTCGTTACCAAAGAGACGGCAGTCATTGACAATGTCTTTTCGAACCAAAAGATTGTCCAAGTCTTCAAGATGCTCATCATGGGAATCACTTGCACCGCCGTCGTCAATTTGCTCCTCTGGCGCGTTTCTGCGCGCCAGCTCCTACGAGCATCCATCACACACTCCTCAGTATCGCTGGGAAGCATGCTTTCCGACGCAACTGCGAGCTTTCTCGCTAGCTCCAACTACGAAGCTACCCCTCCCGAGTTCCCCGACTCCTACGCTTACTCCAAGGCGCACTCCGCTATGCTGAAGCATCTCCGCGAGGCCAAATTCGAGCATTATCTGCTAGGAAATGTTCGAATCTATAGCCTGGAGAGATTGACTGTCAGATCCATAGAAACCTTGGCCCAGTCTATAGGCGGCCTGCGCAGTGCCGCCAAGGCTCAATTTGCGCTGTTGAATGGTGACAGTCGCGATGCCATTCTCTTTCGGATACACAGCGCTTCTGTAACGCCCTATCTTACAAGAGATATCGATCCGTTCTCTTATTTCAGCGCTGAGAGCACTCAAACGACGGATTCAGGCTCCAGAGACGCCCCAGATCTTCGTGCTGCTGGACAACTGTTTACAAATTTTGCGAGCACAATCAAACATCCGATGCAAAACTTGTCTGGTATATTGTGCCAGGTACTGACGCAGATGCCCTTTAGTGGTGCTCCAGATTTCAACATGCAAATAAACGAAGCCCTGCGCGGCGAGCTGACGAAATCTCTGGAAATATTCAACACTGCGCGTGCAGAGGCTTTGCAGGGTTTCTACCAGCGTATTCGACAGGAAAATGATAGTGGTCACCCTCAGATCGTGCTGGAAGAGGTTGCTGCTGCTTGTGGGCATTTCTCCTTTACTTTGCAAACCTTTGGCGAAGAGATGAAAACCTACCTGGACGTCCTGGAGGATCTTAAGCACAGCTATGACCATAATCAACGCAGCTGGCGCTGGCTTCTATGGTGGCGAAAGAGCAAATCTGACCATGCCCTTGCAACGCTGCCCTTTGACGCACCAGAAACGGAAGCTCTGGTGAAGCCAATCAGGAAATCGGCCGTGCCAGCGGGTATCCCACGTTCAATGCGTGAACGACGAGATACTTACAAGTGGGATGCAGCCCCTAATGCGAGCAGGATTTTGTCCACGCTGTCGCTGGCTTTCCTCCAGTTTCTGCGCAGGATGGCGAGTGACGACGGTAAGTCAAAGCGAAGAATACATGGGGCAACCAAACTGACCGCTGATAGTTTTATTTGGTCTCAAGGTTGGCATTGGTGCTGCACTTTGGGCGTCGCTTGCATTCATCGAGGCCACACGCGACATGTACAACCATTATCGTGGCGAATGGGGCCTCTTGTCATTCATGATTGTCTGCTCCATGACGGTCGGCGCATCCAATACCACTGGGTGGGCTCGATTCCTGGGTACTTTTGCAGGTGCCTTCTTTTCACTCTTCAATTGGACGGTTAGCCAAGGCAATGGTACCGCGCTTGCAATTCTGGGAAGCTTTGTGGCTTTCTTCAACTTTTATCTCATTGTCGCCTGTGGTCGCGCGCCACTCGGACGCATGACGATTTTAGCCTACAACGTCTCAACGCTCTACGCCTACTCCCTAAGCCAAAAGGTCGACGACAATGACGAAGACGAAGGCGGTATTCATCCTCTGATGAGGGAAATTGTGACGCACCGTGTCATATCTGTCTGCACCGGCATTCTATGGGGCCTCGCCGTATGCCGATTCATTTGGCCCATCTCTGCGCGCCTCAAGTTCAAAGAAGGCATCTCGGTGCTGTTCCTCCAAATGGGCCTCATCTGGCGGCGTGGACCACTTTCTATCCTCTTACGCTCCGACTGCTCTCAAAGCTACCTCAAATCCGGTGAACAAGTTGCGCTGCAGCGCTACGCGGACCGCCTCGAGGCCCTCCGCCACAGCGCCGCATCAGAGTTCGAGCTGCGCGGGCCCTTTCCATTCGAGGCCAACGGACGTATTCTGCGCAGCGTGAATCGCATCCTGGATGGATTCTATTCCATGAGTCTGGTGGCGCAGCGTAAGACAAGCCTCTCCAGTGGGGAACGTGCGTTGCTCGAGTTCACAGCGCGAGAGCGTGCTGTGCTGTGCGACCGCGTCTGTCATATTTTTCAAGTGCTGGCAAGCTCCACGATGCTTGAATACCCACTGACGGGCGCGATCCCGAGTATCGCCCGCGCGCGTGACCGGCTGTTAAGCAAGGTCTTTGAATTTCGAGAGACTCACGCGGCACGTCGACAGGTAGCTCTGGGCGTCGGTTCGCCACTCATTCAGCAGCAAGGACTGGAATTATCGGAATCCGGGGCGGAAGTGGATGTCGTGGAAAGAGACTACACCCTCCTATACGCTTACGCACTCATCACGGGCCAGGTCGAACAAGAGCTGAGGATTGCGTTGGATGAAGTTGAAGGCCTGCTCGGTCTATTGAAAGACGACCCACTCCTCGGTGAGTGAGAGGTCGACACCTTTTTGCGCTCGGCCTATGTCGTCTACGACTTGGCCGGCCAAGAGGTTGGGTGATGCTGAGATTTTCCTTGTCTTGGTCTTGGTCTTGCTGGAGCCCTTGAAGGTGGCGCTTAGTATAAAATAGAAGCTTTCTAGAACAGTACCTTGAGCCCTCAAAATGTATTTTCACTAACTCATACCGCTACCGATCCGCCAGTACCCCTAGCACTACTCCACAGCTAAGGTTTTACGGTCAAAATAAAGCAAGACGTAGACTTGTTTATCTTTTTAATAAAGTAAGAAAAGTAATAGAAGTACTTAGGTATTGCTATAAAATAGGGCTCTAGAATTTTATTATAACATAAACAACACTAGAAAACTAACTGCCCTAGTTTCCTTTCTAGGAGAGGAACTTAAGCAGCGCTACTCTAACCTAAGCCTTAGTAAGTGTTAAGCCACGGGGGCATCCGGTACCAACGCCTCTGTAGACGGAAGTGACTGGTGACTTATTACTTTAAATAAGTCCTCTATTTAAATCTAGAAGATAGTTAATAGGATTATAATACTCTATAAGTACTATTTACTAGTATTTATATAATTATAAGTAATATATAGATTAATAGTCCTTTCTTTACTAGCTAAAATTATAAGTTACTTATATATTTATTTATTAGTTAAATATATATATTATTAGTTATAGTAACAAATTAAGTAGTATAGATATAATAGTAAGACTTAAGAAATTAATAGAGAAAAAATAAGGTTATTAACTAATTTTAGTAAATAATAAGGCCTCTTAGCAAAGGTACTTTTATCTTCAAGTTATATAAAGCTTATATAATTATACTAAATTTAGTGATAATCGACGCTACCTGCGATAAAGTCGTAGGTAAATTACCTTAGACTAATTCTCGGAATCATGGCCTAATCAATTAACCCGTTAGCTAATCACCTCTATGTAGACGTGCGCTTGACTCGTTGGAGTTACAGCTACAGTGAAAGCTAAGCCGCGGGAAATTATGGTCGGAATATGCTGCACGGTTTCTACGTCATCTGATAAGACCAGGCACAGGAACATGAGAAACAAAAGTTAATTAATTAAAACTCACCTGTAGCTACTACTGACTCTATTAGCGCTTAGTTTTCCAGCTATAGCGCCGTTGACTCGAGTCTAGGCAATATGTAGGCGAGAGGACGTTTCATAATAAGGGCTCTCTCAGTGTCTCACACCACTGCTTCTTGGTAATTACCTACGATAAGAGTGGTCTTTACCTAATTGAGTACGGACCCTATTTAAATAACAAGAAGTAAATAAATGTAAATAAATAAAAAGTAGGTTCTCTTCTGGTGCGTTTCTGCGCCGCAGGCACCCGGCGGCAGACATGGCTTTGGACGCCATCGTAGGATATCGGGCGCTGCGCTCGAATCATGCGACAATAAGTAACATGCACCGACAAGAGTCTTGGCGCCTATAGTAAAAACACCCTCACGTTCTCTTACTAGGAGAGAATTTATGTGTTTACTATGCTTACTGAATCATCCCCCCTTCTATGGCTGTGGGAATCTAGGCACTGGTTTTGAAAATGACAGGTAGTGGTTACTGTGACGCTTAATCAGACAGGGATGTATGTGTATTCGAGCGTTGGGAAGTGGCTGGGATATCCTGGATTATGCTTACGACTGGCCAATATCCGTACTGGTTATCTACTTTGCAATGCATAAATGACAGGTCGGCTTAAACTAAAAGTATCGCAAACTGCACCTGCCAAATATTAGAATACAGATGCCCCTACGACAAGAAGAAAAACACGACGACAATACTATCTAGTCTTGTCTCCTTGGCTGCTCTTCTCTTAAACCTGTTATCCACTGACTAGTAATGATTTTCTTTTTATTTTAATATTATAATGGTAGGCAATGCTTTTCATCTTTTCGTCATAGCACTCTGTGCTGTTTTGGCAGCAGCCGGAGCTATTGACAGGAGAATCATCGGCGCAGAGAACGCTACGGAAAACGAATTTCCATCTATTGTCAGCATCCAGAATGCGGGTTCTCACATTTGCGGAGGCACCTTGCTGGACAACACCACGGTTCTCACTGCTGCTCACTGCACCAACTCGCGCAAGCCTCTAGGCACTGGAAGGTACTCAGTAAGAGCAGGAACTCTGGTAAGCCTGCTCTGTATTCCTCATTTGCCTATTGGACTACTCCTTGTCTACCAGATTTCTAGCATCTGAGTCTTGCAACGGACCCCAGCGTTTGGAAGCAGCACAAGGACTAATAACATACAGGACTCGCAGGCTGGCGGCGTAGTTGCAGCAGTAGCATCGATCACAAGTCACCCGGCCTACACTCGCCGCAGATTTAACCGAAAAGTATATTCTGTCAATGATGTTGCCCTCCTCAAACTTTTTGACTCCGACCGGAGAGAGCGAAAAAATTCGCTTTGCGACGCTACCGCCGGATGGTTGGACTCCTGCAGCAAACTCCACTGCGATTGCCGCGGGCTGGTAAGTGCCTTCTGCCATTGAGCGTAGCATCGCCGGGCAAGGACCACTCACTAACTGATTCGGCTCAGGGGCGTACAGAGTTCCAGCGAGAACGTCGCTGCTACCACGCTCGCCAAAGTGCTGATCCCGATTCGCCCCAGTCAAGACTGCGCTGCGCTTTCCGGAACCGAGGACATCATATGCGCCGGCGCAAAAGGCAAGGATACAGCCCTAGGGGACAGTGGCGGCCCTCTTATCGACCCGAACACGGGACATTTGATTGACGTCATAGTATCTGGCTATACGGATTTTTCCGAAGGAGTGTATGCGAAGACCTCGAGCTACATCCCCTTCATCAACGAAAATCTCGGCTGGACAGAGCAGTCTACCAAGTCGCCTAAGCCTCTGGGCCAACAAGTCGAGGAGCACTGCGGACGCTGCGGAAACGACAAGGCTGCCTGTTTAGAGGCCGCCGCTCGCTGCGAAGCGGAAGTGAAGCCAGACGCAGTTGCGCCCTTGCACCTCGAATGTATTGATAGGCTCCAAGCCTGCGAGGGTTCAAAAATTGAGACTTGCCTGGCATACGCAAAGGCGTGCCAATATAACAAGGAGTTCCCTTTGAGGGACCTAGGGCAGTTGGTGGAATGTATCGAGTCGGCTGATGAAGAAGTGCGTGATCTGGATGAGTTTGAGAAAGTCCTTTGGGGCCATATTCGGTAGGGATGCTTGAGGAGTCAAATGATGCTATCTAAAAGGGACAGCAGATTGGTTCCATCAGACTGATTGATCGGGTATAGAAAATTGGGATCCAGACCGGTAAACCAGCAGTTGGGGATGAAAAGCAAGGCGTAGCCAAATCCCTAATCGTCCAGGAGAACCTCATTTAATGTTATGCACTGTGCCCGTATGATCCCAGTGCCGTATTACCGTTGTTACTGTTGTTACTGTTGCTGCTATCGTTGACTTTAAAATTCCATTTGAACCATTTTGCGTTGTCGTCCGCCGTATGAAGCGGCCTCTACATTCGCGCCCCCCGGTGCTCGCCAGATCCGGCGCATCACCCGAGAATCCCTCAAATGCCGCCATAGAGCTGCACCAACAGATATCTCACTAGTGCACCTATTACGTTCTTATAAGGGACTTTTGCGATTTTTTTTATTTTTATTTTTTTTTATCTCGGTCGGTCAAACTGTTAGCTACGCTACTACCACGTGCCTGCCTGCGATTGCTTTAACCTAATCCTCCGCCGCCGACGAGAGGGAAGCCGGCTCCATCCCCATTCTCGCGTTCACGAAACTCAACCGTGCTTGTAAACTAATGACGGGACTAACGCACTTGTCGTTGTGGATGGGGGCAAGGGAATAATACTCTTGCTTTTGATCTAACCCCTTTTACGAAGTATTCGCTCATCTACTATTCTATATAACTGAGTGGCCCTTGACCCTATGCAGAGTGTGGTATAGGTCGTTGAGGCATGTCTTGATTCGGTTTTGGGGGCTTTTATAAGCATGTTCCTCATTAATGACAGTATTGTAGCGAGGAGTGTGATAACAAGGCATGTCACGGGTAAAGTAACGAGGGCGGAATACAATATCGCCGTGACATCACTTGTCAACATAATAAAGTCTGTATACCCGTGTAAGAGATCACTAATAGCGGATTCAAGGAGGTTGCTCAGTCCTGATTGTGGACCCATAGCGCAGTCTCTCGGAATGTCTCGCGGGATTTTAGATACTCCGCGAGTACCAGCCTGTCAAGGTCATCTTCAAGCTCTGAGGACGCGCAGTCGAGGAGTCCTGTCCCTCCAAAGCCAGCGGCAGATTTGAGTGCCGCAGATTCGGCCATGGTTATTGTGTGAGGAAATACTGGAACAGCAAATTTGACGGCAATGATCACACGCAGAGCCTTGGCATTAGGGATGAATATCGAAGCAGCAATTCCGCCAAGTGCGATGGTCGCGGAGAGGAGGAAAAGTGCCACTGGCATCAATCATGAGGGCATCTACTTGCTTGTACTGGTATAGATAGGCGTATCGAATATCCACGCTTTGACGCCTCCTACTTAAATTACTTACTTTTAATTTTTTTTCTTTTTCTTAAATAACTTATTACTTTACTCTTAAAAGTTAAAGTTAAGGGTATATTTCCTTAACACTTTTTACTAGTCAAATAACCCTTACCTAAGGTTTCTAAACCTTACTTATAATTATCTTTATATCTAGAAAATCTAGAAATAAAAAAAAATCTATTTTTTAGTAATTATATAAATATTTTTATATTTAGACTTTTTTTATAGTATAATATTTAGGGAGAACCGCAAAAAGCCTATAGTAATAGATACCACACACATAAGATATAATAAACCGTTATAGTAGCACTACTC